CGAACCACGAATCGGTTAAAACCGGGTCGAACCGGGGGTTTTTTTTTTGACCTTTTGACCTAAAAATTGCATATTTTTCCATGGATTTCAACTTCTAATGTCTTCCAGGCCAACTTTTTCTCTTTTGTTCAAAATTGCCCAACAACTTTCAATTTTTTGTACTTTTTCTTAATTTAATATTTAGTTCTCATATTCAATTTTAATTTTTAAAATATAATATTTTGAATAATCTTTTTTTAATTTTGCTACAGAAATTTACTTCCCTTATTTTATGAAAAATTTATATTATTACTCTAATATGTCACAAAAAAAATAATCTTGGAGTACTTTTTCTTAATGTGTATATTAATTGTCCTTTAAATTTAATATTTTTTTCTAAATGATAATGTATTTATCTTAATTACTTTATTATTATACTACTTTACTTCAGTTAAGTAACAATTAAGTACTGAAAATATCAATATCAACAAATATAATCGAAGAGAGATATAAAATTTAAATTTTTTTAATTTTAAATATATTAAAAAACTAAATACTATATAATTAGTAATAATGACGTCATCATATGCGACCTCATGAGTTCAATTTGATTATATAGCGACCCATTTGTAACTTATGAAGTATTAATTCGACTCCAACAATTGAAAAATATATATAAAATTTATAAAATTTTAATTAAAATATTATTATTAATTAATTAGTATTTATTACGTTATTATGATGTCATCCGAGTCGACCCCCGATTCGATCGACCCCTTGGCCATGCCGAGTCGAGCTCCGGTCCGAACTTGACAACACTACAAAAAGGAAAGTTGTAGCGGTGATAGCTATTGGATGTGTGTTTCGGATAGGGGTGTCAATCCGAGTTATCGGGTCAATTTCGTGTTATCTATTCCATAGGGTTCATAAGATTTTTTGGAGAAAAAATATAATAAAAACTCAAATCGTGTCGTGTCGTGTCGGGTTGTCTCTGTAAATCATGTTGTCATGTCAAAAACTGACACCCCTAGTTCCGGAGATCACATCAAATATCCAGATACAAAATTAATCGGGTGAAGATTGGGCCAACGGAGGCTTTGGATATGTTCATTTTTCCCCATATGTAACCAAGCGCAACCTTATCATTCCAATTGTGTAATTTCTCTTTTTTCTAATAAATATATAACTTTGAGGTGTATTTTATAGAATGTTATGATAGTACTATAAATTATATAATGACAAGTTTTGTTTTGCAGGACACACATGGATTATCATCCACTGGCACCAGAAACTGAGGTTCATAAGGTTGATGTCGTGGAGAAAATTTGGTGAAGTTTAACCGTATGATTTTTTTTAATAAAAAAAAAAAACAAAAAGCATATGAAGTCTCAGCGACATGTTAATTTTTTCTTATGGTCTATCTAGATATTATGAATGGGAAGTGGAATCTGAATCTGTTCACGTTTGTTTCTAGTACAGTAGTATTTACTTTGCTATTTGTCCTGACTGATGTTTTGGTAACACAGTATATATGTAATCGCACAGCAGAATGTGTCCTTCATGGACATATAACAAAACTAGAATTATTCACGTGTGTTACACAGATTGTATTACATATATTGCATAAAATTATGATCACATGTGAGAGTCGAGCGTTATCGTCTTAATAAGAAGGTTTTGTGATATAATAATTTTTATCCGTGTTTTGTTGGGTAAATTACATTTATCTTGTTTTTTATGTTTCAAATTCAAGATAATGTATATTTTGAAAGGTAAAATATCAATATGAAATTTTAGAACTAATCATCCATAAAATTGATCATTACTTGGTAGAGTAATTTCGTAAATTTTTACAAATAAATTTAATAAATACAAAATGAAAATTTTAGCGAACTCAAAAAGAAAAAACAAATGTAAAGATATATAGTGTCTAGACAACATCTCTTTAGTAATATTTTTTTAGATTTCCCTAAGAAATGTAAAGATATATGATAGAGTTCATAAATTGTGTTTCAATTGTTGATATTTTATTAATTTATGGACTCGGATGGATTTAGTTCATTGGTTTTGTTATTATTTCATGTTAGGAGCAGGAAATAAGAGATTGGAATTGTTTTGGTAAATCTGGACATCCAGGGACCTTTTTGAAAAATTAAAGAAGTTTTGGAGCCAAAATGAAAAAGCTGCAAAGTTGAGGGACCAAAACTGCAGTTCGTCCACCTTTTGCTGTTTTCCTGCAGCTGACCTAATTTTATTATAAAAAGGATTATTAGTTTTGTAAGGGAGCAGCCGTGTGTAGTCATAGGCTAGCACCTCCTATCTTTTCGTTTACCGAATTTTCTTGTTTTTTCATGGAGAATCAAGCCATCATGCTTTCAACTATGAGTGGCTAAGTTTTCTTTTCTGATTCAAGGGATTTATTCAGTTATTCAATTATGAGGTTTTGTTCTTAATTTATTGTTCCTGCCTATGATTTAAGTATTTGTTGATTCTTGTCTTAATTTATGAAAGTAGATTTCATTCGAATTGATAACTTGATTTGTTATTTATTTTCTAGTGCTATCTGCTAGTTGAATGTTACGTAATAGACACGAACCGGCAGTACTGAGTAGCAATTAGACAAAGCATGTGTATTGGTGAGACATTGAATATGCATGTTCGTTTAAATGTAGAATCAATGAGACAAAGTCTGAATAGTTGCAGCTATCTCAATTGTTTAGGTTTTGGTTCAACTATATTTCTTTGGTTTTTATGCTATCATTGTTTGGTATGGAACGCTATCGCGCCCAGCCGAATTATGATAAGGACTAATTGAGTGCTAGGCTTGGTTAGTTAATTTCGGGAGATTAATTGATTTATTACGGCTATCCTAATAGATCTTTGGTTGAATGCTTAAATTGCAAGAGTAGTTTTAGTAGCCTGTGATTAATGAAATAATTGAGTTATCCGTCCCTTGAGTAAGAAGTTTCCTATTTTGATTTCTTTTCTTTATTTATTTTATGTTATTTGAGTTTTCAGTACTATAGACTAGAACAACAATCAAAAAAATCCATTTGCATTAGTTTGAAGGAAACAATCCATCGTTCCCTGAGGAGACGACCTTACTTTCTCTTTACTATTGTAGCTTGAAGTAAGTTATTTTATTTGTGTGGCTTGACACCCCATCAAATTGGCGCCGTTGCCGGGGAACGGTGTTAATTGATTTGTTTCCTTTAAATTTTTGTTTTGTTTTATTTTAGTTTTTTTTTTCCTTTTGCAATGGACTCATATGCACATCAATCTTGGAACCGACAAGATGGCAATTGGAATACAAATGAGGTAAGTTCTTCATATCTTGAGCAAAAATTATTTGAACTAACTTCTCTTGTGAAAAATATGGCTATAGGTCAACAAAAACAAGTCCAAAGATGCGGTATTTGTTTAATGACTGGTCATACTAGCGATTTTTGTCCAAAATTATCATACTACCAGTGGGAGGGTAAGAATACCATGAGAGAATCTTGGAGACCGCCACAAGAAAGATACGAACCTCGTTTATACTCATATGATCCAGGCTGGAAGGATTACCAGAATTTCAACTATGAGTATCAACCATCTCAACCACAAGTGTATCATGTTCCGGAACCTCCACAGTTTCAAAGCTCAGGTTTGTCTTTAGATGAAATTTTTAACGCCTTTGGCAACTAATACTCTTGAATTTGAACAGGAAACAAGAGCAAACATACAGGATTTGGGGAGCCGAATTAGCCAGCTAGCTAATGCTATTAGCAAGTTCAAAGTCTCAAAACCTGTGGAATTACCATCTCCATCGATAATTAATCCCATAGAGAGTGTTTATGCCATAAGCGAGAAAGTAGCGACGTCCAAAGATGATGTATTTGAGAAGAAGGTAGAGAAAGATATTGCTAGAGAAGAGCCACATTATGTGATACTTCCTCTATTTCCGAGCAAATTCTCAAGGACTGAGTTAGAGAAAATGAAATATCCTTTCATAGAACAGATTTATGGTGTGGAGACTGTACCTACTCAAAATGCAGAAGATTTGAAACATATGAGAGTAGAGAAAAATGAGGCAGAGGCATTGGACGATAATGAGGTAATTGATCTTTCTATTTTATTTAGTCAAAATAATGCAGCTGATACTTCTTTTTCAGATATATCAATAGAGCCAAAGATAGAGGAGCCCAAACGGAATGTGGTGGAGAATTTTTCCAAGGATGAGGTACATGTACATTTGGCGAAAAATTTTGACGAGCTGCCTTATCATGGTGAGCTTCTTAAGAAGTTTTGTGCTGAAAAGAAAGAATTCCAATTCCATAGTGTAGGGGTAGTTTTAATTGGGAAAAATGTATCTATTATGCCACAATCAAAATTTTCTTCCAAATGCAAGAATCCAGGTATGGTTACTGCTTCATGCACTTTCAATGATGCATTTAAGGATTGGAAACCTCCAAAAGTTGTTTTAATACCATTACCTAAATCTCTTGAGTGTGCATATGGACATCTATCTCGACCTCCTGAAATAGGACTAATCGTAGATGCAAGTTTCGTGAGTCTAGATAGATGTGGAGTGTTTAAAGAATCAGTTAGAGGAGAGTACTTTCCACCTCATTTTGTTGAATCAATGTCTAAATATGAATTTGGTCCATCTAACTTCGATTTCCTTGGATGTTGCTCAAAATTTTATTTACTGTTGTTAGGTGGAAGTTCAAAATTTCCACCTTGAGACACACCAAATTGGTCTAGCCAAAGACAGTAAAGAAATGCGCTGTTTGGGAGGCAATCCAAAGTGTTTAAATTATGTTTTTTTTTTTTTTTTGTTCTTTTTTTTTTGTTATTTGGAGTTGAATTTAAATGTGTCTTTAATTTTCTTTTAAGACAAATGGTGTTTTGTAAGCATGATCATGGATAAGTGCATTTTAAGTTTGTTGGATTAATTTTTTACAAGTGTTATGTTTTTTATGTGTGATCATGCCTCAGAGAATAATGGGTTGATTCTTTTAACGTTTGTTTTATTGTCCATGGCAGATTCGAACAATGCCTTAGACGTGATCAGGTCTAACAAAGTCCACCTCTTTTCCTTTATTTAAAAAAAAAGGAAAACATTTTACGGTTTTGTTTTCTTCCGCAGCAATCCTTTACCCCATATATCAGATGGCTTCGATCCAGAATGCTCCGTGATTCACTCGACGCGGCGTTTGTCCAACCTCTTCATCAATTCAATTGGTCGCCGCTTCCATCATCACAATCATCGATGCCCATCACCAACTCATGTCCACCGATCGATGATCGCCACCATCGCCATCACCGTTTGCAATCGTTGCTGCCACTGATTAATTCTGACTGCCAGCTCGTTATCGCCCAGATTGCTGCTGCCGCCGATTGCTTCCGTCAGTCGTGGCCCCACTCGTCGGTTTCTGCCGTTGTTTTGTCCGCTGACCTGCTTCCTTCAGTCCGCCGCCACAATTGTTTGCTGCTGTCGCCGTTCGCTGTTGCTGCTGATCACCACCATCGGACCTTTCTTCCACTTGCTGTCATCATCGGGCGCTCCAGTTCCTAGCAACTACAACCGATTGCTCCATTGTTCGTCGTCGACTGCTTCGAAGGCTGAAATACATTACCAATTCCAGCGATTGGTTTTCCTGATTGCTGCCACTGTTTTGTTTGTTATTTTCGGCCACCTCGCCCGCTTCAATCAAGTTCGTCCCGGCTGCTGAAGTCGAAGCCCTCCGTTCACTTTCTTGCTATTGCGCACATCGCCGCCATCATCCTTCTGCCGAAATTGAGTTCTCGAACCTTGCTTTCCATCATTACCGAACACTTTGAGCTGTCATTGGAGGGTAGCTTATGTCTGCAATCAGTCTTGATTCTCTGCAATGGCTAATATTCTACTTCACACAACCTTTGGCGAATGGAGCTAATCATCTTGAAGATCTCTATATTTTCAGGGAAGTGTTGCTCTTCATTTTTATATCTTTTGCTACATTGCGGACAATGTATGTTCTAAGTGTGGGGGGAATTTTAGGTGTTCTTGTCTGTTTGTGTTTAGTTTTTTTTTTCATTTATTATTTTAGTGTTTGCTTATGTTAAAAAAAAAAGAAAAAAAATTGAAAAATGAAAAAAAATCAAGAAAATGAAAAAATCCAAAAATAGCCAATGATGAACTTAACTTGAGACTCTATGAAATCTAATTACATTGGGACAAAAATTTCTTTCGAGTCTGTGCATTATGTGTTATACCCTGAATACTTTACTTGCGCACTTTAGTCATAACTCTGGGATAAACTTAACATGTATGTGTAATTGCCTAAATTCATGTGATATGCCAAAGTTTGATTTGATTCATTTAGTATTTGAACTATGTGCATGTGGGACCTTGCTATATTATGGAACCCAAAAGTAGGCATTAACCCTATCATCACTTCAAACTCGAATAACGGGGGAGTGGTGGTTTGAAAACAGCCTTTTTACCTTCTTGCTTAAAGTACTTTGTGCTAAGTAAGTGTGGGGGAGGGGTTGTTGGTGGATGCTTTTCTAAGGTTAGGTACAATTTAAAGAGGGAGAAAAGGAAGAGCATTCAATGTTGATGCTAACTCATTGATAGGTGAGAAGTCTGGCAAACAACTAGCAGAGTGTCCTCAAGCCCGTCGATGAGAAAATATGAGTAAGTAGACTGCCCTAAGTTGTTGAGCCACTATATTTATCACTATATAAATCAAGTGGAAAAATGCTCTAGGTAGGGGCCTGAGTGGGAAAGATCCTGAAGAAAAGCCATATGGACACTGAAGAATGGGTACGAGGGAAGTGCATTGAATTGTATTATGTGAGGTGTAATTTTAAGCCTTCGGTTTCATAATATGTGTAGGAGTAACATTGCATTGAAGTACGATCTGAATTGGGGATCTTAAGTTCACTCTTTAGTGGCATATTTGCATTTGAATTTTTGTATTTTATGCTATGTGTAACAGTGATGTCCCTAGGGAATGGTTTACATTCACACACAAAAGGCTAAAGAGTAAAAGTACATAATGTATTTGACTTGGTTGTGAATTTTTGTTTCACTGTTACCATGATTTCTTTTGAGTGCTAGAGTTTCTAAGGCGCATCTTGAATAAGAGAAAGTTTAAAATTCCTATGTTCTTTAATGCTTGAAGACAAGCATACTTTAAGTGTGGGGGAATTGGATAGAGTCCATAAATTGTGTTTCAATTGTTGATATTTTATTAATTTATGGACTCGGATGGATTTAGTTCATTGGTTTTGTTATTATTTCATGTTAGGAGCTGGAAATAAGAGATTGGAACTATTTTGGGCAAATCTGGACGTCCAGGGACCTTTTTACAAAATTGAAGAAGCTTTGGGGACAAAATGAAGAAGCTGCAAAGTTGAGGGACCAAAGCTGCAATTCGTCCACCTTTTGCTGTTTTCCTGCGGCTGACCTAATTTTATTATAAAAAGGATTATTAGTTTTGTAAGGGAGCAGCCGTGTGTAGCCATAGGCTAGCACCTCCTATCTTTTTGTTTACCGAATTTTCTTGTTTTTCCATGGAGAATCAAGCCATCATGCTTCTAATTATGAGTAGCTAAATTTTCTTTTCTGATTCAAGGGATTTATTCAGTTATTCCATTATGAGGTATTGTTCTTAATTTATTGTTCCTGCCTATGATTTAAGTATTTGTTGATTCTTGTCTTAATTTATAAAAGTAGATTTCATTCGAATTGACAACTTGATTTGTTATTTATTTTCTAGTGCTATCTGCTAGTTGAATGTTACATAATAGACACGAATCGGCAGTACTGAGTAGCAATTAGACAAAGCATATGTATTGGTGAGACATTGAATATGCATGTTCGTTTAAATGTAGAATCAATGAGACAAAGTCTGAATAGTTGCAGCTATCTCAATTGTTTAGGTTTTGGTTTAACTATATTTCTTTGGTTTTTATGCTATCATTGTTTGGTATGGAACGCTATCGCGCCCAGCCGAATTATGATAAGGACTAATTGAGTGCTAGGCTTGGTTAGTTAATTTAGGAAGATTAATTGATTTATTACGGCTATCCTAATAGATCTTTGGTTGAATGCTTAAATTGCAATAGTAGTTTTAGTAGCCTAGGATTAATGAAATAATTGAGTTATCCGTCCCTTGAGTAAGAAGTTTGCTATTTTGATTTCTTTTCTTTATTTATTTTATGTTATTTGAGTTTTCAGTATTATAGACTAGAACAACAATCAAAAAAATCCATTTGCATTAGTTTGAAGGAAACAATCCATCGTTCCCTGAGGGGACGATATTACTTTCTCTTTACTATTGTAGCTTGAAGTAGGTTATTTTATTTGTGTGACTTGACACCCCATCAATATATAGTGTTTAAACCATGTTTAGACAACATGGTTTTTCATCCAATGAAATAAATTTAATATTTTTTTTTCAAAAAAAATCCACCACAGTGCACTTTGCTTAAAAATGTGTGAAAAATTATTCTTTTTAGCAATCGAAAAGATGGATTTTTCATTTTTAATTAAGTAGTTAATCAAATATATATGAAACTTAATAAAGATGGCTAGAACACACGTAATCAAATTTTAAGACTTTAATTAAAGAGGGTCTTTGGCATTGACATGTCTCAAAGAAAGATTCTGAACTTGACATGTGGAAAGAAATGCTCTGAACTATCTAACTGAGCAACAAGTGTCAATTGAAACTCTCATTTAATATATAATAGAGATGGATATATAGATTGGAATGATCACTCTAGAATGATTTGTTTAATTAATTGTAATTGCGCTTATTGAATTGCTTATTCCCTCGTATTATTTTACAATTAGATAAATGGAAAAATATAGTTATTCATCTAAGGTCTATTAAGATGGGATCAGAAAAGGCGCATATTTTCGAAGCCCCTGTTCCATATCAGCCTGTGATTGCATCTTTGCTATAATCCTATTACCTCATATTTTAGTAAATCTCCGCGTTCAGAAATTACCTCAGTTCTTAATAGAGAGTTTACATACTCCTCCAGACATCTAAAAGATAGCTAACTTTAGTCAAACATCGCAAAATGTCAATTTTTTTTTGTTTTGAACATTATAAATTTTCTGCCATCAACCTCCTTCATTGCCTATAAAGACACTCATTTCGTCCCATAAAAACGATTCACTTAAAATATTTTTTTATTTGAGCTAATATTTTATTTTTATGTGGAATATTAGTTTCATTTAAATATTTTTTATCTTTATCTTAGGAAGAATAAAATAAATCAGAAAAATAGTGTCTTAATTATTTTTTATTTTATTTACTTTTTTATGAATTATATGCAAGTTATAGTCTCTTGAGTTAAATTGTAATACACTAAAATATATTAATATTTTTTTATTTGAGCTAATATTTTATTTTTATGTAGAGTATTAGTTTCATTTAAATGTTTTTAATCTTTGTGTTAGGAAGAATAAAATAAATCAGAAAAATAGTGTCTTTATTGCTAAACTATATTATTAAAAAAATTAACATGCTTATATAAATACAATCATGGGTTACAACTATACAAAGATTAATTTTTACAGTAGAGTTTGAAAATAAATAAATATTTTTTTAATACTCATATAATAGACTTTTATGGTCATTAAAAGTAGTTGAGAGAAATGGAACAAAATAGAGAAAAATAAAATAAAAAAGTGAAAAGGGACTGTTTTATTATTTTTATATATTTTAGGAGTTATTTTTAAAATTTTTAAAAATTACTGGAGTGTTTTTGTAATTAAATTTATTATTTTATTAAAAAACTAACGGAGATCCGTTAATTTAGATAGAAAATAGGCCGATTGGACGAAATTGGCAAAAATTTCAAACATTAGGGTAAAGTTGGCTAACCGAAAATCTATTGGGTATGATTGACGACGAGGGTAAAGCTTTGAGTAGGAACGACATTTTTTCCGAGAAAAAAGCAATGAAAGGTCCAGAGCACTTGTAACATGGGATGATGTATGCAGGACAAAAGCAGGAGGATTATGGATCAGGGAACCTGGGATCTGGAATCAGGCATTGGTGGGGAAGCAAATTTGAGAATTGGAACAGAACAAAGAAAGCTTATGGATACAGTGGATGCACATATATTACTTGAAAGGGAGAAGTATTTGGAATTACCAAGTTCCTGCTGATTGTAGTTGGCACTGGAAGACATTGTTGAAAATCAGAGAAAAGCTGAAAGCTGGAACAATTGATGGGAAATGGACAGGAAATGGATGGAAAGTATATGATGCTAAGAGTGGATACATGTGGATGAGAGGGCAGAAGGAAAAGATGAAGCATGCACCAGTCATATGGAGCAAGTTTTCGGTTCCTAAGCATAGCTAATTGTGCTGGCTAGCATGCCAAGGCAGGCTATTAACAACTGACAGGATGATCAAGATGAACATGATGGAGGATGATCAGCAAGGCATTTTATGTCAGAAAGAAGAGGAGACAGTGCAACATTTGTTCTTTGATTGTGGATACTCTAAGTGATGACATTAATACAGACTTGGCTGGGAATCAGAACTACTATCACCAACCTGAATGTTAGAAGGCTTTCAATCATTTGGAAGCAGAAAGCAGTGAGAAGAAGAGTATTATATGCATGTATCAATGCAGCAGTTCATCATATTTGGACTGAAAGGAATGCAAGGAGATTTAGAAACAAGATTGAAGCAGCAGGAAGTAGATTTGTCAGATTGCAAGAAGAGATCAAATGGTCCATCTTGTTTAAATATAGGAATGGTAGTGGTGATGATGTTCGATTTCTTGACAGTTTGGAGCTGGATTTGGCTGCCACAATGTAAATATGTACATGTCTTGACCATGAAGCAATAAAATTCACAGTTTACCGAAAAAAAAAAACAATGTCATGATGTAATTGGGCATCAAACCCCCCGATTTGTAATAACTTGTAACTAGCCATTTGTCTCCTTTTGCACCCAAAAAAAAAAAAAGATGTTCTAAATCAATCCGTATTTTGACCACACGTTGGAATGGCTTTGAGGGGGAGTGCCTTCTGTACAGTCAACCCAAATAATTCATCCATGTCTAAATCTTGTGGTCTGATTTCTCCTTCAAGCTTCCAATCAATGTTGTGAATGAAAGAAGCCAACATTAGGTGTACCATCCTATAAGCCAGAGGAAGCCCGGGGCACATTCTTCTTCCTGCACCAAACGGAGTGAGCTCGAAATGATTCCCTTTCACGTCGATTTCGCTTTCCAAAAATCGTTCAGGCTTGAAGATTTCGGCTTGCTCCCAAGTTCCTTCATCTCTGGCGATAGCCCAAGCGTTGACCAGTATTTCCGTGTCTTTTGGGATTGTGTACCCGCTGATTTGAACATCTTCATTAGTTTTATGAGGAACTAGAAATGGTGCTGCCGGGTGAAGGCGAAATGTTTCTTTAACGATTACTTGCAAGTATGGGAGCCTGGAAATGTCTGATTCTTGAACTACTCCGTTTTCTCCAATGACTCGCTTGAGTTCTTCTTTAGCAGTCAGTAGCTTTTCAGGATTACGAAGTAATTCAGCCATTGCCCACTCCACAGTGCCTGAAGTTGTGTCTGTTCCTGCTATAAACAAATCCTGAAGCATAACAGTTAATGTTAATTAATTTAAGATTATAACATTTCAAAAATGTGGAAACTGTTTGATTTATAGTACTCACCAGAAGCATATGTTTCAGGACATTGATGTTGAAGTTTGATTCATTCTTCATGTTTTCATCCAGAAGGGCTTCCAACACATCATTTTTCTTTGTCTCCGATGACCCTCCCCTGATAAGCAATCGTTCATTTATCAGACCATCGAAAATGTCGAACAAACGCTGGAAATATGAATTTGTGCTGCGCATCACTCCCTGTGGATCAATCGGTTGAAGGACAGGGAAATAATCTGAAACATTAGGAGTACCAATATTTTTCATCACACCCCATACGATGTCCCTGAGTTCTTGAGATGAATTAGTATCGTAATTTGCAAAATCGACCGAAAACAGAGTCCTCGAGATCAAATTCAGGGACGTCGTGAAGGCCGCTTCACCAATGTCGACTGTTTTCCCGCTACTGCTGCAACTCTTCACATAATCACGCAATTCTTTCAGCTTTTCCTGACGAAGAGCTTGGCTAACATCCAGACTGTGCGTCGAAAAAATGTGCTCTTTACTCATTTTACGGATGTTTCGCCACCGGGTAGAAGCCGGGAGCCAGACCATGGAGACATTGTGATGATTAAATGAGTGCATGACGATTGGTATGCCACGGCTGGAGCAAATCTGATCATTTTTCTGTAACACTTCTCTGGCGATTTCGGCGGATGACACAACAACGGTTTGCTTGGTTCCAAGCCTAACAGACATGATCGGGCCATAAATCTCGGACAGTTTTGCATACGAGCGATGAGGCTTTGAGCCAATTTGATGAAGATTACCAATAATCGGGAACTGATAAGGCCCTGGAGGAACTTTGCCTGATCCCCTGGACCTTAATTTTGAGATGATTACATAATTGCATAACCAGAAGATGAGGAAATAGAAAGCAAGGGATGAAAGAATGGTGATGATATCCATTTCAGATCTGTTAATTCTTTGAGTTTTGAATATGGAACAAATCTTCCTGCATTCTGGGGGCTAAGATAAGTGTATTTAAAGGAGGGTTCGGCTATGTGATCAAACTAATTTCATGAGATGAAAGATACCCACACGGAAGTGGAATAAAAAATTGGAAATTTTTGCCAGTCTGAATATTCAAGGGCCGCCTTCTGATTACCTAAAATTGCTAGAAAGACAAGAGAATTAGGGATGGAAAACAGACAGAAACTGTTGCGTTAATTTGACAAAAACAGAAGGGACAAAAAAAAAAAAGAAAAGAAAAGAAAAAGCTCATCTGCTTAGTTACGTGCGAGGAAAAGTCCCTAACATGTCGTAGGAAGAAAAGTGTACTATTTTGATTCTGTGAAAATTTTGTATGGAGGAGGATACAGTCTCACAAAACCTACACTTTCTAAACTTGTAACTGATGCACAAGAAAAACCAATGCCATTATGTTCATAATTTGACAATTTTTGCTGCCATCAACACTTATTTTTTCATAGCATTAGGCGTGTTATACCGATAGACAAATACTCTTTCGGCCTTTTTATATGGTTGTTTCATTTTATATTCTCATTTTTAGTACCCTTGTCTCAAAAATGGAGTTTACATTGAATTTTTAGATTTATAATATTTTCAGTATAAATTTCCAAACCCAACATGGACCCAGCGTGAACTAATTTTTTTTTTTAACAAAGGGAGTATAACTTATTCTAAAAATAAAATGATACTAATAATCAAGTTAAAAACAGACAATCATTTAGGGATAAAAGAATATATATTTGCATATCAGTCTATTTTACTGTCATGTAGCGTATGCACGGAGAATTCGAATCATGATTTATCGAATGAAAGTGAAAAGCAAAAATAAAGTAAATAATAAATAAAAATATACAAATCCCTTTTAATGCGTGACCGATGTTTTTCTTTTTCGTGGGTGAAAACATCCAGCATTTATTTTATGGAGGAGACATGGCGTTAAAAGGACTCAGATGCAAACACAAGAAAGATAAGGGAATTGATAAATTGAGAATTGTTTTTTTATATTGAGAAGAGTAAAATTTTATCAACTACCTACACTACCCTTACTTAGAATTTCTATAGATAATAATAATCAGATTCATTTTCTCTTAATTGCTCCCTTCTTTTTTTCGGCCATCCATTTTTCTCTCTTGTTCACATCCCGGCGCTATTCGTCTCACTTTTTTTTTTTTTTGGCCATAATCATTGTTCAAACAAAAGACATTTTTCCTTAATTATTTTTTGGTGCTCAAGCAAAAGAAATTTTAATTTCTTCAAAAATATATCAGAGTTAAATTTACGTTCTTTGATTCTTAGCAATATGCACCGATTTTTACGGTTATCATCTTTTGTGTTGAGACTTGTGAGGTAAATCTTCTATTAGTTCTCACTTAATAAGTTTAATAATGCTTTTGGGTTTAAGTTCATGTACTTATTTTTGTTAAGAAAACAATCAAGGATCTAAAGTTCTAATTAATTGATAATAATTGAACTTTAGAGCTGCATAGTTCTTATTAATATTTTATAAATCTTGCTGATATTAAAATTTTATTGTGTCTAATGATCAATTTAGAGGTCATAGAGATAAGTTCTTTTGCTTAAAGGATAAGAATCGAGGACAGATTGTAGTGGTTTTTCATTTTTGCATACCAAAAGATATAAAACTAAAGGAAAAACTGAAGTTAACTTGCCTTCTTTTTTTTTTAGAAATGAATTTTTATTACTGGAAGCCTACAGTAAAGGATCCCTGGAAAATCCCTTTTATGAATAAAATTGAGTGGATTTGTTTTCTTATTGTGGATCTGGTTGCCCTTTTTTTTGGTGCAAAAATTTAATAGTCTTCGACCTTCTGTTTTTGGTATTGAATCCTCCTTTTCCTGTGAGTTAACGTTCTCCAGTTTGGTTCTTATTAAAAGGTGTTGGATGAACAAGTTTGTGCTTTTTCCAGAAGTAATTTTGTTGAAATTAGAAGTGCCAGGAAGGACTAAACAAACTATACACATATCTCAAAAATCAAATCATGATTTTGTTGAAATCATGAGACCTTATTACACAGATAAACAAACTATCACTCGTGTATTTATTCACCCAAGAAAAAAAAATCAAATTATTTATCAATATTATTGAATTATACTGATAAACGAATATTACCTCTGTCTCAAAATAATTATCTACGTTATACTCTTTTGTTTAATTTTTCATAAAAATAAAATTATACCAAAGATGAAAATTGAGGCAGATAGGCCTTTCTCTGCACTGCACCATTTTAGAAACCGAATACAGATAATCGCTAGTGGTGTGGCATGCAGAAAGGTATTTTTTTAAGCGTCAAACATTTTGAGTTTAAATCATTTTAAAATTTCTACCAAAACAAATTTAAATGGTCCAGTGGTTTCGATGAAAATGCAAATTATGAGTGTTTTGACACCACCATACGGAACAGGAAGCATTAGAAAAAGAAAAAATGGGATGGATACAATCTAAACTAATGAGAATATTTACGTAAAAAAATCAACAATTGGAATATGTCAACAATTTGAAAAAAGATAAAAATTGGAAATTAGAGAATACTAAAATGGGGAGTATCATAGAAAACTCCAGATTTCTTCCATGGGATAAAATAACAGAATCGATAACTGTTTAAGAAGTTATATATAGAGCACCTCTCACGTAGAAAGTGTAACGGAATATTAAATGTGCGAAAAAAAAAGCCCTATAAATATAGAGATAACAAAAATATGTCTGAGATAACAAGCAAAAGGAGTTAGATTAATCTACAGCTTCACTGGTATAGCTTTGAGGGGCAATGCCTTTTGTAATGTCATCCCAAACAATTCATCCATGTCCAAATCTTTTGGTTCAGTTTTTCCTTCGAGTTTCCAATCAATGTTGTGAACCAAAGATGCCAACATTAGTTGTACCATCGAATAAGCCAGAGGAAGTCCCGGGCATATTCTTCTGCCAGCGCTGAATGGTATGAGCTCGAAATGTTTCCCTTTGATATCAATTTCGCTCTCCAGAAATCGTTCTGGCTTAAACATTTCGGGTTCTTTCCAGATTCTTTCATCTCGTCCTATAGCATATACATTGATCAGTGTTTGTGTATCTTTTGGCACCGTGTAACCATGGATTTCAACATCTTCACTAGCTTTGTGAGGCAGAAGTAAGGGTGCTGGTGGATGAAGGCGAAGAGTTTCTTTAACGATTGCTTGCAAGTAAGGGAGCTTAGAAATGTCTGATTCTTGAATTTCTTCTCTCTTCCCAATGACTTGCTTTAGTTCTTCCCTTACTTTTTCTATCTTTTCAGTGTTACGCAGTAACTCTGCCATTGCCCATTGTGTAGTTGATGAAACTGGGTCTATCCCCGCTGTCATCAAGTCCTAAATGCATAACATTTTGAAACTAAGATTATTCTTAAAAATCTTATATACTACTTGCGTATCACTCCATATAATAAAATTAGTAATATTCATCGTATTTTTTTTAATTGTTTTAGTTCAACAAACATGTCACTAATTTTAATTTTGGGGCAGCATGGAAGTCAACTAGTTAAGATAGTGAAAAAAGAAGTGGAAGGTTTGATCTTTTGTCTGTAACTCCGGAAACCCCAACAGAGATAGATAAATCTGGGTTGACATGAATGTTGTCAACTCCGCATGTTAAATCTTTACCTTCTAATTATAATTGTCATAGGAAGGATTACTTACCAGAAGCAAATGTTTCAGATGATTGATGCTGAATTTAGACTCATTCTTTGTATTTTCATCCAAAAGGGCTTCCAACAAATCATTCTTCTTTGTCTCTGATGAACCTTGTCTAACAGTTAGCCGTTCATCGATGAACCCATCGAAGATATTGAACAAATCTTGGTGGCAGGACTTTGCTTTACGCAAAATTCCTTGCGGATCAATCAGTCGAAGGACAGGGAAGTAATCTGAAAGGTTAGGACAGCCAATATATTTGAACACACCCAAGACAACGTCCTTGAGTTCTTTCGATGAATCACTATCAAAGTTGACAAAATCGACCGAAAACACAGTCTTTGACATTGAATTGAGAGATGTCGTGAAGGCGACTTCACCAAAGTCCACCGCTTTCCTGTTCCTACTGCAACAGTGCAAATAATCCCGCAATTCTTTCAGCTTTTCCTGACGAATGGCCTGGCTTGAATTGAGACTTTTCGTCGTAAATATAAGTCCTTTGCACATTTTGCGGATGTATCGCCATTGGGTGGACGAAGATGGCAACCAACCCACAGAAAACATGAGATGATCAAGGGATTGGGCAGCAATTGGTACAGAACGGTTTGAGCAAATCAGGTCGTTTTTCTGTAGGACTTCTCTGGCCATTTCAGCTGATGATACGAGTATGGTTTGCTTGCTTCCAAGCCTAACAGACATGAGAGGGCCATAAATTTTGGACAATTTAGCAAATGATTGATGAGGCTTTTTGCCAATCTGATGGAGATTACCGATAATCGGACGCTGGTAAGGCCCTGGAGGAAGAACTCTACCTGACTTCCTAGTAGACCTTAAATTTGTGGTAAGCACATAAATGCATAACCAGAAGGTGATGAAATAGAATGCTAGAGGAAACAGATTGTATGTGATATCCATAACATGCATCTCGCTACTTTGTCAATTTTTGTTTCCTTTACTAACACTTTTCTGCCTTCAGGGATTAAAAATACTGCACCTTTATATACAGGGGAATGTGTTAAATGTACAAAATAATATCCCTGAGATTTACCCACAATCTGGCAAGTTCAAATATTTCAGGTGCCGAACTGTCAATACTCATGTTAGTTTCGGGTAGCATTCAGAATTCGGATTACCTAAATTACAAGAAACAAGATAACACACGACCGGAATGCCAAATTCTTGAACTTGTTCATTGGTTAGTTTCAGGGGAGATGGGCAGACACAATTAAAAAGGACGAAATTGAGAGCCTGATTGAGATTGAACAGAGAAGCAAAATATAATGGGAGAAAACTGGTAAACCAAATAAGTCGAAGAATGGCCTCAAATGTAAACATAAGATAATCTTAAGCGGGCACATAACCAAGAAAGGAAAAAACATCATGCTATTTCGTATTTTTCTAAAAGAAATTCTAACAATTACCTTACAAGTGACACCTAATATTGTAAAATTTCAATACTGACCCATTTCCTATCATTTGCATTATCACTTATAAAATTTAAATCCATCTAGTACTTCCTCCTTCCGCCCTACAAAAATAGTTCAGTTTCAAAATGTATAATTTTTTTTAATTTGGTCAAACCACCCAAGGTACAACTCATTTTATTCTCCAAACTTCCATTTTTGCCCCGTTTAAAAATTGATTTAAAACAGCGACGGCGACGATGCCACGGCCAATTTCCCGATGCACGCGCACTCACACGCTCTCCCCCGACCACCATTCCGACTGACTTCCTAGTTCCCACCTTTTTTTTGCTCTGAATTTTTTCTTAAAAACTTCACCGCCCCTTCTCACTGGCACTTGAGTACTTGATTTTTACGTCACCGCCAGATCGATCTCGTCGAATTCCACTGGAATTATTCCAGTCTGTTTTCCGACGCCATGCCGCCGGAAGAAATACTCACCAAGTCGCCGCTCGACAAGCCTCTCTACCCCGATGTAGACGGCATAGCAAGAGAGATCGAGTTAGTTCAGATGCATTGATGGCAGTTTTAGATCTGCACATGGGAAGCCTAAAAAGGATCGAAATCAATGCATTATCAGCAGTAATAATGGCTTACGGGGGTTTGGGTTGTGGAATCCTTCGGAGAGGAAACAAAATCAGATCTGGGAATCTAATTGAGTCATGAAGATGATTCTGGGTAACGAATATCTTTGCCCAAAAAGATAAAGCAGTAGAGTGAGAATCTATTTATCAAAAGGGTAATTAAGTCATTTTATCTTTTTTAATTCTGACTTTCTTAAAACTGGACTATTTTTTTGAGACAACATTTCAAAAAGGGCGGAGGGAAGATCAAAATTATCCTAAAGGGCGTGAGCATATTTTATTCTTTAATATTAACATTAAAATAATTTCCATATCTAATAATGTTTCAAATGACTAGTTTATCCCTTTTTCTTAACCGCTACTACTATTATACTTCTGCTTTCTCACATAAAACTCATCTCCCGAATCAAATTATCTACTCTATTAATAACCATTTCTAGGGTATGATTCTAATCCTACTTTTTCTTTTGCTGAAAATCGACAACCTTTGATTGAAGGAAGCACTTGTTTATGATTTTTTTTTTCTTTCCTTTTTCCTGCGTTGGACACGGGGAATAAGATCAATATTGATGCGGATTGCCAAAAAGAACTCCAGATTCATCACTCATCAGGTTTGCAAATTCTTTGGTGAAAATTAGAGATTCACAATTAAACTCAAGAGCCAACAATATGAAAACTAAATTAAAAAGAAATAATAACCAAAAAAAAAGACAATTCAAATTCAAGGTGTTTAAGTCATCGCTCTAGTTTCTAGGCTGAAACTTTGGATTGAAAGGAGAAGTAAAACAGAGCCCTTGCCGATCATTTTTCTTTTCCTTCTTCTTCTTTTTCTTTTTTTCTTTTTCCTTTTTTTTTTTTTTGATTGAGAGATTTGATTATTGTATTGGGGAAAAGGAAAAAAAACGAAGGGTAAAGCAGTCTTTTAGAGTGTTGAAAAATATTTTTAGTATTTAACCAATTCATGAAAAGAATAAAAAATAATGATGCCCTTAATAATAATTTTAATTTTTCTGGTGCCTTTTTCAAAAACTTTCCCTTTTATCAAACTGGACTATTTTTGTGGGACGGAGAAAATATTATCTTATGCGGTTGAATATGAATATTTGATATCTCCGTTCCATATATCATCATCTGCAACAATTTCTTTTTTTTTTCTTTTGACAACATCTGCTACATTAACACACGATCAAACTTATATATTAGCCCAAAATAAAATACACTATTCTAAAAAAAATATTTTATATTAAATTAAAACAGTGCAATAATGTAGATTATTATGTTCCTAGGATGGAAAAAATATAACGTATGTGACGACCCAAGTCTCCAACACAACTATTTATCGTGTTTGGTGACCAATTGAGCCGCCTGCCGAACAATCTCTCGCCCAAGACTTTGTGGAACAGAACTAACTAATCTATTACATGTTCAAACTTCTGAATTTTCACAGCGGAAGACTTAATTACTACAAAAATGTTTCCAAAATTTAATACAAATTCCAAAGTTCAAATAAGCGCTAAACTAAAGAAAAGCCAAATGCTTCTCTTCGCAATCAATTCAATTTATTATTTCCTTAACTCAGCTAACCTGCTAACCTATGAGGAAAAATAATGGGATGAGCTTTAAAGCCCAGTGAATACCGCAAACAACAACTCCCAGTCTCTCACACTCCATACGGTAATCAAGTCACATGCACATGCAGTTATTCACACAGTTCATTTTTATCCACCATTTTCATTTATTAACATTGTCTACAAAGTTCTATCACTATAACTGTTAGACTAACATTATCTACGCGATGAATTGTATTTGAAAAAGAAACATTCAGTCACATTAGCACATAAAAGATGGCCATATTCGAGGCCATTGACATATTCTCATGAGGATACGAGTGGATCTTAACTGGAGACTACCGAAGACCTATGTGGTCTTTTGGGTTATCTTCCAAGTTAGATTCTCAATTGATGTTCAAGTTACATTTCAAATCCAATAACTATAACCCGTCACTCCAAGTGGCCACAACAATCAAGCACTCGTAGCTCGTGCACGCCTACTAAAGCTATCCATACGTCTGTGCCCAATGTCGACCCGTTGGATTCGACCTATGGTAGCGGGCCCCGAGACTGGTGTGATAATGTACACATCCAAGTCTCAACAATTTCATGGTAATTCATGCACAAGTATTCTTTACAAGACAGATCATGACAGTAGCGATTCTCGGTGTGATAAAGTACACAACCGAATAGAAGGGCAAGCAACTCAATTCAATTAACACATAAACAAGTAATACCATTACAATCACGTATCACATGTTCAAGTAGAAGCACCAAGCTTGCACTTCAATCAAGTAAAAGTACAGAAGCACTCAACAGTCATGCACTGAGAGGGGGAGACAAGGTTACAATATAGAGCGTGAGAGGTACTCACCTTTGCCCTTTAATTCACTGTGACCGCCCACAAAATCTGTTAATGGAATATTTAAAATTGTTATGCTTTCATAGTATTCTAAAACTAGACAATTAGCTGTAATTATATATTCCTATGATGCTTGTCTAGTAATTGATTTCTAAGCTGCATCTCCTAGTAATTGAGGTGTCGTCATTCAAGTTTATAGGTTATGGCTTAAACTTCAACGAACAAGGATGGAAGTAGATGAAATACCTATAGAAAAAGAGTAAATGATCAAAGGAAACATAGTCTCAAATCGGCAACTCAATCAAGGTTCTGAAAATTCAGCAAGACTAATGGTGAAGGGTAATATTAGAAGTACATTTTTAGTCAAACCAAGGATCCGATTTACAAGCCGTCAAAACCTTTATAAACTAGGGTAAACAAGAAGGGTCCTGACTGAAGAAATCAGGAACAACAATTCAGAAATCGGAAGAAAACTGATCTGCAAAACAGCACATCAGGGCTGAAAGTCATCAGAGCAGGAAGAAAACAGACAAACCGGAGCTTTAAAGCCAAAAGCTCCGGTTTCTAATTTATCTAGTTTTAATCAAGTTTTCTGAAATTCAATAAAGCCAATTCACAAACTATAAGAATGAAGAATCAACCTTGAAGTATGATAGCTAAACCAACCAAACTTTGGACAGAGATGACCACCAAACTACGAAGTTCAAAGGCTCAGGGTTCACTGCTTGAGTCTAACAATTTCTTTTGTCCTAAACTCTAAGATTGCATCCAATTCAGAATTCCTATTATGTTCAGTAACTTTTAAGCTACATATGAGTTTTCAAATAAATTCCAAGCCACTGAAATGCCACAATTAACAATCCTTTACACATATACATCGTATGGAATTCAAGAACTCAAGTATTGGCCAAATAACTATTGCTCTACATTTGCAATTTATTCAATGACTCAAAACTAGGAATTGGTAGTGAGATTTCCAGATTTCTTACCTCTTTTGGCCGCTAATAAACAGCCCTAATGCCCTTCAATCTCCCCTCCTTCCTAGTTCGACTTGATCAACTACTTTTAACCTTCTTCTTTCTATTTCCTTCCTCGGCCTTCCATTTTTCCTCAATTAGAAAGCTCCGGCTCTCTTTATCTTTTCCCTTGGTTCAAGTTTTCTGTTTTACAGGTTTAGAAATGGTGAGGGATGATGGAAGTTGTGGTCAGCAGTGCATGCCAAAACAGAGGGAGTGGACGCGTGTGTGTGTTTGGGCGGTGGGAGGAAACGGAGGAGATGAGGTTGATACTTTGATTCTGGAAGGATTTTTGGCTTTAAGGAAAAACAAATCTGCCCTCTTTTTAATTTTACCCCGCTGAAAAGGGATTTTAGCAACTAAAATAAAAATAGAAAGCATGTGTGGGCTGATTATGAAATGAGAAGTGTGTTTGGGTTTTTACATTTTCTTTCTTTGTCGTTGGTTCCATTTGAGTTAAGAAAGAAAACATGTTAGGAGATTCCCTACCGTGTGCCAAAATTGGAGAATGGAGTACGGTACAACACTTGGGCTAACAATGATAATTGGACTAAAAATATAATTTGGATAGCACATGTATTATTAGTAGTTCGCAATATACCTCGTAATTTAATTTAGGCCATAAAGTATAAACTCCTAAACGATGGTACCATCTCGAGACTCTACACGTGACTTCACCTAAACACGTATTTAATCAACTTAAATCACGTCAAGGTTTCGGGTCCGTCACAACGTAGCTATTGACGGATTCCAAAACTCAAAAGCCTAGAGTCGTTTTTATAAGTCCCACGAGGGATTCTATTATTTGACATCAATAAACTTGCCACAATGCTGGAATTGCTTTAAGAGGGATTGCCTTTTGTACTGTCAACCCAAACTTTTCATCCATGTTCAATTCTTGTGGCTCAATCACCCCTTCAAGTTTCCAGTCAATGTTGTGAATCAAAGAGGCCAGCATTAGGTGCACCATCCTGTAAGCCAGAGGAAGTCCAGGACATATTCTTCTCCCAGCACCGAATGGAATGAGCTCGAAATGTTTCCCTTTTATATCGATTTCGCTCTCCAAAAATCGCTCTGGCTTAAACATTTCGGGTTCCTCCCAAATTTCATCTCTACCGATAGCATATGCATTAACCAAGATCTGTGTATCTTTTGTTACCGTGTAACCATTAATCTCAACATCCTCACTAGCTTGATGAGGGGCTAGTAAAGGGCCTGGTGGATGAAGCCGAAAGGTTTCTTTAACGATTGATTGCAAGTAAGGGAGCCTGGAAATGTCAGATTCTTGAACAACTCCTTTCTCTAATCCAGTTGCTAGATTGAGCTCTTCTCTTCCTTTTTGTAATTTTTCAGGGTTCCGTAGTAGCTCTGCCATCGCCCACTCCACAGTGCCTGAAGTTGTGTCTGTTCCAGCTATGAACAAATCCTAAACGCAGAGCATAGTAAATCAATGACACTGCGGTACTTATCAGCAGACCAAATATTCAAGTTTTCCATCATATATACGTATATAAAAGCTAACAAAATTCAGGTTGAAAATGTACTTCAAAAGAAATGGTGCATTTGATCCTGTGCCTGAATAAAACTTAAAGATCCAGAATGAGGAAACTAGTTAAGCCCTTTTCTTTATTATTATGCAAGTAGATTGAAAGTAACACATGCACTAGGAAACAAACTACATCCATTGCATCAGAAATGGAATAGATACTCACCAGAAGCAAATGTTTCAGGGCATTAAAGCTGAATTCGGCCTCATTCTTTCCGTTTTCATCCAAAAGCGCATCCAGCAAATCAATTTTCATTGTCTCTGATGATGCACTTTCTCTGGCAATTAAGCGTTGATTAATAATACCACCGAAAATGTTGAACAAACTCTGGATGCACGACTTGGTGTCACGCATGATCCCTTGTGGATCAATCGGTTGAAGGACAGGGAAATAATCTGAAACATTAGGACTACCAATGTTCTTCATCACCCCCCAAACAATGTCCTTGAGTTCTTGAGACGAATCACTGTCATAGTTTCCGAAATCAACTGAAAACAGAGTTCTCGAAATTAGATTGAGAGATGTCGTAAAGGCGGCTTCGCCAATGTCAATTGCTTTCCTGGTATTACTGCAACTATGCACATAATCCCGTAATTCTTTCAGCTTTTCTTGACGAAGGGCCTGGCTAGCATCGAGTCTTTGCGTTGAAAACATTTGCTCTCTGCAGATTTTACGAAGGTTTCGCCACCGGGTCGAAGGTGGCAGCCAGAGCAATGAGAACTTATGATGATCAAGGGAATAGGCTGCATTGGGTAATGAACGGCCTGAGCAAATATGGTCATTTTTCTGCAACACTTCTCTTGCAATTTCAGGTGATGATACAACCATGGTTAATTTGCTTCCTAGCCTAACAGACATGAGAGGGCCATAAATCTTTGACAATTTTGCAAATGATTGATGAGGCATTTTGCCTATCTGGTGGAGATTACCGATAATCGGATACTGGTAAGGCCCTGGAGGAAGAAGAAATCTAGATTTTCTGGACCTTAAATTTGAGGTTAGCACATAAATGCATAAGCAGAGAACTATGAAATAGAATGCGAGGGAGAACAGACTGCTAGTGAAATCCATAATTGCTCGCTACTTTTTTAATTTGTTTCCTTTAGCAACTCTTTAATGAATTCGAGTGTGTAATATAAGGCAAAAACAATAATGCACAAAATTAATTTGCCGGTGTGTATACCGGAAAGCCGGTGGATTCAAACTAACTTCACGTGGTTAACTGTCCATTAATTATTTCTGTTCCGGGTAGTATTCAGATTACTTAAATTGAAACGTACAGTCTAACATGGTCGAAAATCGAATTGAATGATTGAAATGAACAGAGAAACAATATTATTGAAGGGGTCCAGCCCAATTAATGCCCAACTCCTTCGGATGGAGTTTGCATGGGGACGGAAGTGCTTGGTTTGAGGGTTTGAAACTGATTCTGTGTATTTCATAGAAAATTTTGATGCTGGGTTCATTTTATGGACTCACTGAAATAGATTTTTTTTTTTTTTTCTAAAATCCCAACCCAAACCATTATGGAGGTATTATGTATCCCATCTCTATGTAATACTTTATTTTTTACCTCTCTACCCTCTCCCCAATTTATCTATTTCCGCGTTTATCATCATCTTTCTCTCTATCACACCTCTAATTACTTACCTAGGACTCACATATGCCTCGTCCAAATGACTATTTGTATCCATATCTATGATTCTATATATATTCATACTTCATAGTTGATTTTTTTTTTAATATATCTTTATCTATATCTTCTCGTTAAGTAAACTGCAAATCTGATTTTCCCCATTTCAAAGTGGAAATTGGAGTTTGAGATTTTTACCACAAAATTTTCCAAAAGTTTAGGTTAAGGGTCAAATATGTTATAGGATATCCTTGTAATTTAATACTCCCCTCGTCCTAAAATTATTGTCTAGTTTGAGTTTTCATTTTAGTTCAATATGTATAAAAATGAAAAATTCAAACCAGACAATAATTTCGAGACGGAAGGAGTAATTTATTTTCAAATTTTGTCTTTTTTATTGTTAAAAAAAAAAGTCCAATTAAGCGGCAAACCAAGAGAACTAGTAACTATTACAACTACCATTTCAAAAAAAAAAAAAAACATTATTACAACTAAAATCTTCTCTCTGAACTTTTTTTGAAATTTGGCACCAAATACCAATAAACTTACAACATCATTGGAATAGCTTTGAGAGGCAGTGCCTTTTCCACAGTCAACCCAAACTTTTCATCCATGTCCAAATCTTCTGGTTCAATTCCTCCTTCAAGTTTCCAATCAATATTGTGAATCAAAGAAGCTACCAATAAGTGTGCCATCCTATAAGCCAGAGGAAGCCCCGGACATATTCTTCTCCCAGCACTGAATGGAATCAGCTCGAAATGCATCCCTTTCACATCAATTTCGCTCTCCAAAAATCGTTCCGGCATGAACATTTCAGGTTGTGCCCATGTTTCCTCGTCTCTGCCTATAGCCCATGCATTGATCACAATCTGTGTATCTTTCGGTACAATGTAACCACTGATTTCAACATCTTCATTAGCTTTATGAGGAACTAGCAATGCGGCTGCCGGATGAAGCCGAAACGTTTCTTTAAGGATGGCTTGTAAGTACGGCAGCCTGGAAATGTCCGATTCTTGAACTACTCTTTCCTCTCCAATGATTTGCTTGAGTTCTTCTCTACCTTTTTCCAACTTCTCAGGATCACGTAGTAACTCTGACATTGCCCACTCCACCGTGGCTGCAGTTGTGTCCACCCCGGCCACAAATAAATCCTAAACACATAACATCATCATACTGAAACTAATTACAACAAATTAATTATGTCATCTTATATGAAGAGATTAATTAAGGCATTAATGACTTCTATTCTATCACGAGACTCAGAGCCATCTAACCATTGGATTCTCTTTTAAGGATTGGAAATAACTAGTTGAGTTTCCAGATTGGAAGTGGCTTTTCAACATCATAGAGGGATTGCAATTAATTCAAAAAAAAAAAAAAAAAACCTTGCTGAATTTTTTATGGTTAACAGTTACGCAATCACTATTAAGCATAAGAAACTGCATCCTAAATGGAAAAAATTGGAAAAGAATACTCACAAAAAGTAAATGCATGATGACATTGATGTTGAATTCAGATTCATTCCTCATGTTTTCATCCAAAAGGGCTTCCAATAAATCGTTTTTCTTCTCCCCTGATGATGTTGTTCCTCCTCTGTCCAGCTTCCGTTCCTTAATAATCCGATGAAAAATATCGAACATTTTCCCGAAGCTCAACTTGGCGCCGCGCATAACTCCTTGAATATCAATCAGTTGAAGTGCCGGAAAGAAATCGGAGAGATTAGGAGTACCAAGACTTTCCATCACGCCCCACATGATTTCCTTGAGCTCTTGAGACGAATCAGTATCATAACTCCCGAAATCCATCGAAAACAGAGTTTTCGACATTAAATTGAGCGTTGTCGTGAAGGCAGCTTCACCGATGTCGACAACTTTTCCGGCTCTGCTGCAACTTTCCAAGTAATCTCGCAACTCTTTCAGCTTTTCCTGACGAAGATCTTGGCTCGCATCAAGTCTCTGCGTCGAAAATACTTGCTCTCTGCAAATCTTACGGATGTACCGCCACTGGGCTTCGGCCGGCAACCAACCCATAGAGAATTTGTGATGATCCAGAGCATGGGCTGCCATGGGAATAGATCGACCGGAGCAAATCCGATCATTTTTCTGCAAAATTTCTTGGGCAATTTCTGCTGATGATACAACTACGGTTTGCTTGCTTCCTAGCCTAACACACATAAGAGGGCCATGAATTTTAGAAAGTTGAGCAAATGATCGATGGGGTTTTTGACCAATTTGATGGAGATTACCGATAATCGGAAGCTGGGTTGGTCCTGGGAGAACACGAACTGATCTCCGGCGGGATCTTAATCTTTCGGTGAGGAAATAAATGCAGAACCAGATGGCAGAATAGAGTGCGAGGTAAGACAGGATGGTGGTGGAACCAACATCCATTATGATCAGCTTCATTGTTGTTCGGACTTCGGAGGAAGAAGATGAGTCAACGGATACGAACAAAAAACGGGAGGGTCGAAAAAATGGTTTGAACGCCAATGAGGGAATCAATTCAGAGAACAGAGTGCGAAGTTGTACGAGGAGAAGGAATAAAATACATAGAGGGTGAGGCTGGTGACCTTTTTCTTTTTTTTTTTTGGATGATGAATGCCGCCTTCTTTAAAAGATCTACTCACCAAACAATACAATTATAAAAGTTCATTACCCAGCTACAAATACACTTTTCTTTTTTTTTTTGTATATCTTACCTTCCTTTGTCATTTCCATCAGTGGCGGGGCAACCTCTCCCAATTTTTTTTTTAATTAAGAAAGGTTCTGAATTTTCAGTTTGAAAGTTTAAAAAATTATAAATTCGTCTTGTTATATGGAATAAAAAAAAATGTCATTTTAGAAGAAAATAAGAATTTAAATTACATAAAAAAAAGAAAGAGAGAAATATCTAAAGGTTACATTGTGATTGATTGACCGGATACAATATTCATTTGAGTAGCTCGTTATTTATAGGAGAGCTTTTTTACAACAACCTTACAAGATAAGGCTAAACTATTTTAAGTAACTATTGGAAGTAATCAATCCCCGGGATTGCGAGATACTCTAGGAATTCTTGATAGCCAAACATATCTCATCATTGATGAGTGTGATCAGCCTTGTTTTGGAAATGACATGATCTCGATCTTGAGAGATTCTGTTAACAATTTTGCTCTCCCCATTTATAATTTTTAGCTCCCGTCACTAATTTTTATGGTGCAATTGGGATAATGATCGGAAATCATCTTTTTACATACTCCATCCGGTCCTTATTATAAGGCATTTTGATTTGTCATAAATTTTATTTAGTATGTTTTTATAATTGAAAACAAAAATTTTTCAATTATACCAAAAAAAAAAAACCTTTTCATGTTTATTTTGTTCTCCCCGTTATCATAAAACATTTGTAAAGTTTTATTTTTAATTAAAAAATACTTAGTAAAGTTTAAAATAAATTAAAATATCTTATAAGAACAGTAATAAGTAATTTCTCTGTCTCAAAATTATTGTCCAGTTTGAGATTTCACTTTTAATACAAATTGAACTAGAAATGAAAACTCCAACTGGAGAATAATTATGGGACAAATGGAGTAGTTTATTGGGTAGTTGGTTTGGGCCCAATATGTGCTTGCGTCAAAAGAAATTCGCGACAAAATTCTCTATATGGATGTTTCGGAACTCATTGATTCAGGCATATTCTTTGTCATCATATGCCATATATGTTGGCCGGAAATATAGAGCCAACCAACTCTCTAATGTCATCTCATAGCCTCATAGGCTTGAGAAGAAACCACAAATCATCAAATTCTTCTTGTAGGATAACCATTTTTATTTTTTGTACGGCATCCACATCTCACCAAAATAATTAATATTATAAATTATAAATTATATTAAACATATTACTCTCTCGTTCCACAAAAATAGTCCACATTAAGTTTTGAATTTTGTACTATTTTTAGTATAAATTTAAAAATCAATATGGACTATTTTTTGGGACAGAAATAGTACTACCTCCGTCCCACAAAAATAGTCCAATTTTAGAAATATAAATCTTAAAATTAGAGTTATGAGATCATATAACATAAAATTAATTATTAAATTGATAAATAATCATCAAACTTTATTCAACTTTTCATATTATAACTTTTTAATTTATAAAATTAAATCATCTAATTTTTATGTTTTAGTCTTTCAAATTGGACTTTTTTTTTTTTTTGGGACGGAGGGAGTATTATTTTAAAAGTTTATAATGCTCACTATTTTTATGGGACCGCGAAGAGTACTACAGTAACTACTAACAGTTTTCATTACTGTCAGATTTACATGGCCTAGAATTTTAGTCCAGAATGAAGGATGCTAAGGCTTTTGACAGGGTCGGTTGGGAATTCATTGAGGACACAATGAAGGATGCTAAGATTCCAACTCTGCTAAGTAATCTCATACTCAGCTGCCTCAAAACGGGATCAACACAAGTCTTATAGAACGGCAAGCTGGGACCAATCTTCAAACCTAACAGTTGAGTGAGACAGGGTGATCCCTTCTCGCCTTATGTTTTCATTCTGTGCATAGAAAGGCTCTCCCAGGCAATCAAAATAGAAGTCCAATCAGGGCGTTGGAAGCCCCTCATATTCGGTAACAACCAAGTTTCTTTGTCTCACCTTTTTTCGCTGACAATCTCATTTTGTTTGCAGAGGCAGAATTGAATCAACTCAGAATTATTCGCGACACTTTGCACCTCTTTTGCCAAGCATCAGGCCAGATGATCAGCAACAGCAAGTCAGTAATGTTCTGTTCCTCAAATGTCAGCTCGACCACGGGAAACGACCTTAGCAATTTTCTCAACGTACAACTGGTGGACAACCTTGGCAAGTATTTAAGGTGTCCCAATCATTCACGGAAGAATTAAGAAAGACTCCTTCCAACCACTGATCTGCAAAGTCAAACAGAGAGCTGGAAGCTGGAACCCGTATAGGAATGGATGCTGTTAGAATTCCACCTCATACAATCCAAGACAGACCCTAAACAATTGATGAATTAAAGAAGAAAAACTCAAGATAAACAACATAGATTCACCACGAAGAAAGGGAAAAGGGGGTAAACCTTGAACTTTGGCCCATCTCTTTCTCGACTTTGGCCTGCATTTCACGGAGAGCAGCTGCTTCATCTTCCATCTCCTTCAACCTCTTCTTCATGTCATCCAGCTCCTAAAAATTGATCTTCATATCATATTAATTAAATAATTTATATGCAAAAAACAATAATCCCTAATTTCGAGTGGGAATGAAAAAGTTAGGGTTTCTGCAATCGAGAGAAGTGATTTAACAGGAAAGAAATTACAAATCGAGAAGAAAGAATTAGAGTTAGGGAAAGAACCACGAGAGCTCCGTCCTCCGCCGCGGCCATCTCCACGTCGGCCTCCTCCATCACGATCTCTCTCCCCCGCTTTCGCTCGCTTTCTATCTACGTCGCTCAGTCTGCAATCTGAGATTATATTTTCCGACAATAAAAAGATTACTAAATCTATTAACCCGGTAATTTCATAATTTTCTTTTCCATTTCGGGGGAGGGGTTGGGGTGGTTTGTTATCCCTTTACACTTCATGAAAGCAAATGACACTTAAGACACGTGTCAGTTTCACAAAGCTTTTTTTCCCGCCAAAACGAAAAATATACATCTTTTGCAAAAGTAGAACCCCACGTGGCTTCCTAGAAAAACATATAAATAGTTTGTTTTAAAAAAAAGTTTTAAATCCCTTTACTAGATGCTTGGCCCGGACAAATGTCCAGGCGCCCCCTCTAAATTACTATTTTATTAAAATCTAATTAAATTACTATTTTTTGAGGAATTAATTTGGCGTATATATCATTTATGCTATGGTTTGGGGCTTAAAAAATATACCTATAAATCTGAGGTTATAAGGGAATAATAAATAATTAGTTTATAAGGCATTATTCTTAATTGCTGGATTTAGGTATTTTTATTTTTTGTTTATATTAAGCCTGCAAAACTATACGATTGGACATTTGAATTTAAATTAATATATCCATTCGTTTGAAATGTAACTGATCCTTATTTGTAGTAAAACATGTGTTTTTTTTAAAAAAAAAATCATATAACTTCTAATAATTAAAAGAGACTTACACGTGGTAAAAAGACTTCTGAAATCTGAAATATGGTGCATTAGAGCCAAAACAGATGCATACGTAATTGCCACATAAGCTTCATGTCTTTTGCTTTAATAGGGTAAAAGGGATTATTAAAACTCATGAAATAGAGTAATACTCCGTAATAAAATCCGGAGTAAAAGTCTCTCAAGATGAATAGCTTCCTCAGCACAAATTCTTCCCGATCACAATAAATCCCATTAAATCTGTAAAATCAAAATTCAAAACTCTCATTTGGACCTTCCTAAACTTCATTCAAATTCTATAATCTCTCTTTTTTTCATGATTCAATCGGCTACTCAGCATTCCAGCATCACCTGTGCCACCTCGAGTTTCCTCCTGGCCGTTTCTCTCATCTTTTGGTCGGCATAGAAATCCCTAAGCGACAGTGTCGGATCTAGAGTCGGCCGCTTTGATAACCTCTAGCCCAATACTGATCTTCTCTGACGAAGACGTCGAAGAGGAGAAAGAGGAACAATCCAATTCGGCTTGATTCGGGCATTATGGTAAGATATACAACAAAGATCTCCGTCATTTTTTGCATAGATATTATTATTTGTTAAAAAAGCCATGGGCACCAAAACGGTCAATCAGTGAGATCAATGTTACTGTTACAGTTGAGATCAATTGAAATACTGCCATCATCATGCTGAATAACGCGTGCGAATTATTGGTCGCGGAATCAAATCCCCTTTGAATACGAAAGATTGGACAATCGGTGGACGAAGGGCCGGAGGACGATGGATCGAGGTAGAAAGCGGCGGCTGATGTAAAAAGGTAAGGGCAATTTTTTATTTAGGATTTCTGTTTGGGTTCTATTCTTTTTTGGTAATTTCTCCTTTTAAGGACGTTTGATATATTTTACTAATGGGTTTCAATGACTGAAGTGTTCTTGAAAATGGGGATTTTTTCTTTCCTACATTAATTTTGGCAGAGCAGTGTGGTTTTTAAAGAGTTGGTTGACGGAGAATTCTTTCATGAACCTCCTCATATTCAAGGTAAATTTAATTATTGATTGATTTGGGTTATCTATTGTTTACTGGGCTTTTTTTTGTTCATGTAATTTTTCCTCCAAATGACACGAGAAACATTGGTTGGTTAACCCAATTCCATATTACCAGTTAGGCCTACACGTCTCAGGATTCTATTTGCTTTTAAAGAATAAAGGGTGGTAGTTTTGATTTTCTTTCTGGATGATTAGTTCAATTTAATTTGATAAACACAAGAAATAATCCCTGCAAAATTTCTAAACAGCTTGATATGATGATTTATCCCTTCAATCGTGTTCAATAGTGTTTTTTCTTTTCAAATCAGATTTGTTACTTAAAACAGAAACTGATAAAGGGGAAATTTCTATGCATCCTCAATTACAAGTCTTGGATCAAGTTAGGATCAACTTCGATTGCGATACTCCGGTTTTGACTTGGTAAAGTTTCTTTGGCAGCTTGATGTCTGATTTGTCATTCAGCAAGAACGACTTGAAGAAAATGGAGGGGAGATTATAACAGGCTTTTGTGTATGATAATTATTGGCTTCTACTGATGTTAGGGCGAAGCTTACTGTTTGTATTGATCATATGATTTCAGTGTTATATTATACAACTTTTTGGATGTATTTTCCGGGATGCAGGGCTATTATGTGGTTGCTCTATCACACTGGTATTGACCATCATTGTCTCTATACATGCTATAAATCTTCTTGAGAATGAAGAAGGACGAAATCAATACATGGAGAATATATTAATCTCAGTGTATAATTATCTTTATGCTTTAGTGACTACTCATCTCCATTTCTCTTCTTTGATGTCATTTTCCTGAATTTTATTCGACAAACCAACTACTATAAGCATTATAATTGTTGCAGTTTGTTGTTTGGGAACACAGATTTCACTACATTGGACCGGAATTGCTTGCTGATGTGCTTTTAGTTGAGTCGGGATTTATCCGGCAGATGGTGAATACCTTCTGGCATTACCAAGGCTGCCTAATTGTGAAGGATATGAAGATGAGCTTGAGAGTAATGGGGATGGCTGAGAGTTGTGGATGAATCGATTTTAGTTTTACCAGGGACAATTCCTCTAGCTACTCTTTTGATGCTTAGGAGGTGGATTTGACAGATACGTAGAATCTGGAGATCGAATGATGTGGCTAAAGGATTTGATGAATAGAGAAGGATTATTGATTAAGTTTTGTTGATGAAACTATATAGGGTAAAGGATGCGAAATGGTCTGTCGTTCGAAAACTAGCAACAAGTTTTTGCTTATCATGGCGTATAATTGGATACTCCCTCTGTCCCAAAATTATTGTCCGGTTTGAGATTTTACTTTTAATAAATTTTGAACTAGAAATGAAAACCTAAACTGGACAATAATTATGGGACGGAGGGAGTATATCATTACTGGGATTAGATTTTCCATATGGGGGGTCTACATCTTTTAAGTTATGGCTGGATAAATGACTACTGAAAGTCCCAAAAATAGTATAATCCATTTATTTTTATGGCTCTCTAAATGAATCTATATTTGTATATTTTTTAATTTTACCAGATGTTAAACCCGTTACATTGTTGTTTGACTTTTTTTTATACAATGTAAAAAATGTGTGTCGCAACCCTTGTGAAATAATAATTATTAAGATTTTGAATAAAGAAAAATGTGATACATAAATAAATTATTTATATAGATATATATTTACTCATGGAATCAAAATATTAAAGGCGGGTACAAAGATCGAAATGTTAGACAATTATTTCAGTAAATAAATGTATATATATTGTCATTGTAATATATTCATTTTAAAAAAAGTGATAAAACTCTACTTCAATTCAGCAAAAGGGACAACAAGCCCCAAAAAAAGTCCAGCCAGCGTCAATGGATGAGTTCGACTAGGAGAAAAAGACGAAAGTCGAGTGTCATTAATTTGGGTTAGAGATCCAATCGACGACCCGAGTGAATGATCGACAACCCGGTGAATGATCCTCACTATCGATGGTGTCGTCTATTCGACCATGAACCAACGATGTAATGCAAAATTATTTTGCAGTATCTACCAAATCCTCATTGTCTCATCTTCATCTAATTAGATTTGATGAAATAGACTGCCGACTAAATAAGTTTTTGAACATAATTTTCAATCATAACGATACTGTATTTAATATTTTAAAGAGTAAACAGATACTTGAATACAAACAAGCCTTCATCCCACAAGAATGTATAAATTAACTCTTAAATAATATTTTTATTATTATTTTGTCATAAGAAAATTTAACCTCATAAAGAAATGTCATAGAATATTCAAAAAAAAATATCTGAAGACGGCCGACCGGCCTTTTGGTCGGGCCAAGCATCTAGTTATTATTATTACTCCCTCTGTCCCAAAATTATTGTCCACTTTGAAATTTCACTTTTAGTACAATTTGAACTAGAATTGAAAACCCAAACTGGACAATAATTATGGGACGGAGGGAGTATTATTTTTTTGTGTATGGGTGAATTTAACCTAGAAGGAAAACAAATAATGGTAATTAGTGTGGTGTTGTAAACAAAAGAAATAAAATAAAAATTGACAGAAACCAGCATTGAATGAAATGATGATTAAATTTGGATGGCTTATAAATCCTCTAAAGTTGATAATTTTATATTGTTTGATAACTGAAATAAAATATTGTTATAATTTTTTTATACTTCCTCCGTCCCAAAATTATTGTCCAGTTTGAATTTTTAATTTTAATACACATTGAACTAAAAGTGAAAATCCAAACTGGACAACAATTTTGAGACAGATGGTGTATAAAACTAAAAATTATCAGAGCTTGTATTCCTTTCTGAAGACAAAAAAAAAATTACTTGAGAAAATTAAGCACTTATTTATTTGCTGTTTGATAATACATGTATGATTATACTAGAGCAAATGTCACATCAAAACTGTAACGGATTCACAGAGATTATCAGATATTTATGTAATTATCACTTCTTCTTTGTTTTCTTTTTTAACATACACCTTGTTTACACGCTAAAATCTGAATACACTATCCAAAAGTGGAACGTCGGTCCTCCAAGTTCCAAATAATTGTAATTGTCCGGCCCTTTTTTTTTTTCTTTTGAGAAGAAAATTTTCATTCATATGTTGGAAATCATCCAACTGCATTTTGTCAATTAAAAAAAAAGTCTAAAACACAACTTACACAGATTACTATCATCATATTGTTGTGTTTACAATGAATAAATCTACATAGATCTATCCAAAATAAGAGTGGACATATCACATAACGAGATTCAGATCCGATTAAGTATATATCACTAATTATTATATGAAAACTCCAAATTAAAAATCTAATAAATAGATTTATAACGACTGATTCTTGTTGAAAGTAAACAACCAGCCCAAGAGCATCACCAATGACATCACGAACACTACAGACGGCATACCTTACCCTCAACCAGTAGATTCAACCTATTGAGGAATACTATAATTAAAAGTACCCTACCCTCTCAATAGATCACCCAATAAATCTATTAAAGGAACTTTTAGGGATAATCTTCTTTATAAAAAAAGAAAGAGAAACAAGAATATGTTAAAACTAAAGAAGAAATGATTTCCCCCATCCTTCCATGGTGGAAAGATGGGGGAGAATTGGAAAAAAAAAAATTTAGGGTTTAAGGGAGAGGAGAGGAGGGGGTGACTCGTAATTGTCCTGCCTCATTCTGCTAATGATCATATCAATGGTGAATTTCCAACTGAAGTTGACTCAGTTCCCACAATTTGCACAGCCTGGTTTTGTTGAACTGACATCAATGCTGCTCTTATAGCAGGCTTAATCTTCTCACCAGCTCTGACAATAACAAAGAACAGGAACCGATATATGATCACCATTCCAAACAAGATCCCAAGATCTACCCATTTTGAGTGTCCTATTTTGATCTGAAATGTGTTTTTCAGGACAACTTCACCACTGATTCTTGATGGGCTGTCTCCAAGAAAATTGGGAAACATTCGATCCAGAAATTCATTCTTGAACAACCCTTGGAATGCATATGTGTGGAAGGCAACATAGTGGAGTGGGTATTTCCAAATTGGTTTTGGTAAATCGTCGGTTAACCGGAAAAATCCTCCGGTCAGTACCATCAAGCCTTGAATCCCACAGCCGAGTATGATTCCCATGAGGAAATTAGGTACTAAACTCGCAATCACCATCATTAGGCTTTCCACCAACATCATACACGCAAACAGAACGGTTACAAAGTAGAAGAAATGGTCAATTACTTTCCCAGGATCAAGTCCACTTTGAAATCCGGTGAGAAAATATGCAATGGTCCCTGGAATTAGTGATATAAGCAGCAGAAATGGAAATGCAGACAACAGGTTTCCGACTGCGAATGCGCTCGGATCATAATGGCCGTTCAGTCTTTCTCGTTGAAACACCTGAAGAATTGTCAATTTTCATTCATAAGACTAATAAAAAAAAAAAAAAAGAAGCAAGAAAATTTGCTCTGAAGTTTGAATCCTCTGCATATGTACCTTCATTTCCTCCACAAATGAAGGGAATCCACCAATGGCCATGAAAGTTAGGAAAGAGGACACAAAAATTAGGATCGACCCAGTTGCCTGAAAGGAGATGGAAAGTTAACCCTTTATCAATATAAAAATGGATTTCACTCTATATATGTAGTCAGGTATAATCTTTTGAGGTTTCTGTTATGTTAATGTACTATTTGTAATAGACTAATAGTTACCTGAACCGAAGAGGGACTAGGATCAGTAACATTGTAAAAGATGGTGCCAAGACCTAAAGCTATTGCGATATGAACAAACAGTCGCATCCAGTAGTATCCAATATCACGAAACATGTTGATGGATGATCTTTTGGTCAGAACAATGCACTGAACCATGAAACTGACCTTCTCTCTGTTCTCTTCCAATTTTTCGCCTTCCTGTCAATATATTATAATACAAGAAATGACTTGATGTTATGACTTATTTGTAATTCCTCCACGGTAAGTTCCAAATTCGATATGCGTATAAATGTCAACACTCACATTCATGCATATTTGAGAAATCTGCTTCTGCACCTCTTTGCAACTTTCAGAAGATTGGTAGGAATTGATAAGTATACGAATGGCTTCCTCTGTGGGCAATTTCGTCGACAATCCTTCTTCAATATCCTATATCAAGCAGATGCTTGGAGTTACCTATGATATGATCGAGCTATTTGTCCCCTAATATCAGGAACGCAAGGTTATCTTTTTAAAATACTCTCTCCGTCCTAAAATTATTGTCCAGTTTGGATTTTTATTTTTAGTTCAATTATATTAAAATTGAAAATAAAAACTGGACAATAATCTTGTAACAGAGGGAGTACATTGTATGAACAGTGAACCTACCTCATCAAAATCCTTGTTAATAGTATTTAAGAAATGATCAGAGGGGTTCTGCAGAGTTGGGCAAGGGAAACCATTCACTGCAAAAAACTGCATCAAGAGAAAAAAAAAAGAACTTCTTCTCATAAAAAGGATAAATGAAGAGATATAATTAAGTTTCATTTCTACTAAATCTTTATCTGAATTTCCCACTAGTACCTCATTTGCTGCATCAGCAGGGCCAAAGTACACAGTTCTGCCAGAAGACAAAAGACAGACATTGTGAAACAGGCCGAAAACTTCAGAACTCGGCTGATGAATGGAAGCCACAATAGTTTTCCCTTTTCTCTGTCTCGCAATTCTGCTCATTACATAGTACGCTGCGGCGCTGTCAAGCCCGCTAGTGGGTTCGTCAAGGAACAGAAGCTTGGGGCGAGTAAGAATCTCAATGCAGATGCAAACTCTTCTCTTTTGGCCACCGCTGAGGCCTTTTGCTCCCCATCCTCCAATTCTGGTGTTCATTACATCTTGCAGTCCGAATTCCTTTATGACCATTTCTGCTCTTTCTCTTTTCTGGGATTTGGACATGGAACTTGGCAGCTGAAGTTGAGCTGAATAGTATACAGCTTCTCTTACCGTTAAGGTTGTGATCAGAGCATCATCTTGAGTCACATAGGCCTAAATGTATCGAAATGTAAATTGGAAAAAAAAAAAAAAAAAAGAATCAAAATTTAATCAAATGTCAAAATTAATTCCATAAAATAATCTTTAGTACTAAGTAGTGGAAAAAATAAATGTAACTTACCGATGTTCCATAAGCCAGTTGTTGTCGCCGGCCATTTATCAGAATGTCACCACTTAGCGTTGTATTGGGATCCAACCTTCCTGTACAGTTTTCATAAAATAAGAAGTAGTTTTTGGATGTCTTAATTGATTGGATACTGAATCGGGAAATCCTCCAACTAACGTAATTTGATGAAATTTTGACTTTTAATGTACTACCTCCGTCCCATAAAATAGTCCACATTGAGTTTTGAGTTTTGTATTATTTTTAATACAAATTTTAAAAACTCATTGTGGACTATTTTTGTAGGATGGAGGGAGTATTAATTAACTCAATTTTCATTAGAAAACTAGGTACTAAATCCGTTCCATTACAGTAGTTTGATTTTAGTGACAATAAAAAAAGTTACGTGAAAGATATACAATGATAAAAAATAATGACAACTAAGGAAATTTAACCCGTAAACTTAGACATAATGAGCATCGTCAGATGGAACCTGATTAGGAGTGGGAAAATCATATGACGTTCTAATTTTAAAATGCCAAAACGGGCTATGACTCGATGTAGACTCAAAGAAAACACCTAATTTCACTTTGACCAACGTCACAAACATACAAAAACTATCTAAGGCGTGTATTTTTGTTTTTTTTTTCTCTTCTTTATTTTTTGGGGGTGAATTGTATTTTCTGTTTAGAAATATAACAAAGTGTGTTAGTAATGATATAAAAGGGTATGCTAAAATGGATATACATTAATTAAAATTTCTGAAAAATTTAGTAAATTTTTTTTAAAGGATTCAAACAGTCAAAAAATTATGTAAATTATGTAAAAGTTATCAATAAATGGTGCATCAATTAATAGTTATCTACGAATGAATAATCATTTTAAGGTAGATGCATGGCTCCCAAGAATTCATGTCCGTCTTAAAACAAATTTTTTTTGAAATTTATTCTAAACGATTATTTTGAGATAGAAACAAAGCAAGTATTATTGTACTAGCTAGGGTACTAGCAGTGGAAGTATAATACGTACCAGCTAGCGCATCAAGAAGAGTGGATTTGCCAGAACCAGAAGGACCCATGATAGCCAGAAGTTGGCCGGGACGAGCAAATCCGGTGACCCCTCCTCCGAGGATGGATCTCCTCCGTTTCGTTCTTCCGTCGGGAACGGTGACCCACAAGTCCTCCCACGTTACAAACGGACCTCCTACACCGACACTAGTCCCAAGTTGGTTGTAATTAAGTAAATCCTCCTCTTCTTCGCCTTGTTGGTTTTTTTGCATTTCACTAATAATATGGTCACCGCCACTACTCTCTAACTCTAGCCCCGAAATTCTGATCTCGCGGCCTTGATCAGCTTCTTCCACCGGCGGAGATCCAATATATTTAGCGGAAGCCATGGCGGTCGCTAGCGGAAGTATATTGCAACGCCAAATTGAAAAGCTAATATATAGACAGATAGATGCAGTTAGCTAGTTAGGAAGTATACGGTGAAAATGTGTAAATTATTATCTCGTTACTGTTACTAAGTACTAACTGAAGGAAAAGGAGTGTAAAATTTTAAAATTCAATGGTGACCTCAAATTCATAAATCATTGATCATTAATCACTTTCGATATCAATTATTTAGAATGAGTCGGCGTACTAACTCTACTGTACGTTCGAAGGGAACTAATTCCTATTCTATTTCTGCCGGGAGGAAAAAAAGAAAAAGAAAAAGAAAAAAAGAAGGGAATCATACGTGATTTTCTTGACATCGTCAAAAAATGTAAAAAAATACCATGTTTCACGTGACGACAATATATGTAAAACATTGGGTTCTCCATATTCTTTCATCTCTGCCTATAGCATAAACGTTGACCAAAATCTGCGTGTCTTTTGGTATTGTGTAACCGTTGATTTCAACATCTTCACTAGATTTATGAGGGACTAGTAAGGGGGCGGTTGGATGAAGTCGAAACGTCTCTTTAACGATTGCTTGCAAGTAAGGGAGCCTAGAAATGTCGGATTCTTGGACTAATCCCTTTCCTCCGATGACCCTTTTGAGTTCTTCTCTAGCTTTTTCTATAGTTTCCGGATTACACAATAACTCTGCCATTGCCCACTCCACAGTGCCTGAAGTTGTGTCTATTCCAGCAACAAACAAGTCCTAAAAGCACAACATAATTAATGAATCAAAGATACTCAATTTGTGTCACATTAAGGTTATAACTGTAATGAAAAAATGAAATAGAAAGTTAGTTCCTTATCCTGTTCTATGTCTCTAACTACAATAAGATTCAGAACACGGGGACTATATAAGAAAGGAATTAATACCCACCAGAAGCAAATGTTTGAGAACATTGATACTGAATTCAGACTCATTTTTTATGTTTTCATCCAAAAGGGCTTCCAGCAAATCGATTTTCTTTGTCTCTGATGCAGCTCCCCTGACAAGTATCCTTTCATTGATCAGACCATCGAAAATGTCGAAAAATCTCTGGAAGAGAGACTTGGTGTTACGCCTGATTCCTTGAGGATCTGCGGATCGAAGTAGAGGGAAGTAATCTGACAGATTAGGAGTGCCAACACTTCTCATCACACTCCAGACAAGTTCCTTGAGTTCTAGAGATGAACTCGTATCGTAGCTGGCAAAATCAATGGAAAAGAAAGATCTCGACACCAGATTGAGAGACGTCGTGAAAACGGCTTCACCGATGTCAACAGCTTTCCCGCTGCCACTACTGCAACTATTGACATAATCCCTCATTTCTTTCAGCTTTTCCTGACGAAGGACCTGATTAGCATCAAGTCTCCACGTTGAAAAGATTTTCTCTCTGCATATTTTACGCATGTTTCGCCACTGGATCGAAGCAGGCAGCCAGACCATGGAGAATTTATGATGATCAAGTGACTGCGCTGCATTGGGTATTGAACGGGCGGAGCAGATCTGGTCATGTGTCTGCAATACTTCTCTGGCAATTTCCGCTGATGATACAACTACGGTTAACTTGCTTCCTAGCCTAACAGACATGAGAGGGCCATAAAGTTTTGACAATTTTGCAAAAGATTGATGAGGCTTTTTGCTAATCTGATGAAGATTTCCAATGATGGGAAACTGAGAAGGCCCTGGAGTAAGTTTGACAGATTTCGTGGACCTTAAATTTGAGGTTAGTACATAAATGCATAACCAGATCAAGAAATAGAATGCAATGGAAAACAGGATGGTATTAATATCCATATCTAAAATCTGCAAGCCACTTGAAAAAACTCTCTCCTTAAACAGTGACGGAACTAGAATTTTCGAATCGCGGGGTCAAAAATAGGATTATTCAACCGTCACCGGAGGGTCGTACTGAAAAATTTTTAACTAACCGACACTATACTAAAAAAAATTTGGCCAAATTTGGCTAGCCGGGGGGTCGGTCGACCACCCTGACCCCCCTTTAAATCCGTCCCTGTCCTTAAACTCTGTACTCTGCACCAGCTTGCTGGGTTAAGATGCCACTTATGGTGGGGACTAGTTATGTGGAGTGCAAGTTGGGACAAGTTGGCATATTTTTTTTGTGTCATTTATTTAATAAGACACATGGAACCTTATTTTATTTTTCTCAGAGTAATTTGTTGCCTTCTTGGTATTGAAATCACACGATCGACCCCATCACAAAAAAAAAAGTATTGTTGTGACACTACTTAAAGAGTATTTGACAAATCTTAATCAGGTTTCCATTTATGAGTAAAATTATGGTCTAGTCGTGTATTTTTTTTTATTTATTTATTTTTTTTGGTTACAATAAAGAGAGCTCAAGTCTTGCGATTTAAACAACACTACTGGGGTACGCTATCCTAAGGTAAAACACTCGATGGTGGATCAGCGACCCATTGGTACTGTCATTGTACACTGGTTGTATTATCGAAGTGTGCAGTTCGCTTAGAAAGTACTCATAGGCTTGAGACGAAATCATCAAAGCAGGAAGCTGTTCCACTCACATGCAACTTACAAGTTACAACAACGTTGGACTGGCTTTGAGAGGCAGTGCCTTTTCTACAGTCAACCCAACCTTTTCATCCATGTCCAAATCCTCAGGTTTGATTCCCCCTTCAAGTTTCCAATCGATATTATGAATGAAAGAGGCTACCAACAAGTGTGTCATCCTATAAGCCAGAGGAAGTCCCGAACATATTCTTCTCCCAGCACCAAATGGAATCAGCTCGAAATGCATCCCTTTCACATCGATTTCACTCTCCAAGAACCGTTCCGGCATGAACATTTCCGGTTGTGTCCATGTCTCTTCATCTCTGCCTATAGCCCATGCGTTGATCAATATTTGTGTGTCTTTTGGCACAGTGTAGCCATTGATCTCAACGTCTTCGTCAGCTTTGTGAGGCATCAGCAATGGGACTGGCGGATGAAGCCGAAAAGTTTCTTTCACGATTGCTTGCAAGTATGGGAGCCTGGAAATGTCGGATTCTTGTACATTTTCTTTCTTTCCAATAACTCGCTTGAGCTCTTCTCTGGTTATTTCTAATTTTTCAGGGTTCCGCAGTAACTCTGCCATTACCCACTCCACTGTGGCTGCAGTTGTGTCCACTCCGGCCACTAATAAATCCTAAATGCCACAATACAATGACATGAGAATGCCAATAATCAATTTAACGATCCGTCCTAAAAAAAATAAGTCCACGTAGAGTTTTAAATTTGTATCGTCGTTAGTTCTCAAAACTCAATGTGGACTATAACACTGAATACTTCTAAAAGATTCCAATTTTAGACCATCTAACTAGCTAACTGTGATTAACAATTGAAAGCAGGGGAACTGAAATTTTCTGCACAAAATTACTGAAAACAGACGTTTCATATTACTGATGGAAACAGAATACTTACAAAAAGCAAATGCTTGAGGACATTGATGCTGAATTCCGACTCATTCTTGATGTTTTCATCCAAAAGGGCTTCCAACAAATCTTTCTTCTTCGTCTCTGATGAGGGTAATCCTCTGTCAAGCTTCCGTTTCTTAATAATACGATCGAAAATATCGAACATTTTCCCGAAGCTCAACCTGGCTTCACGCGCGATTCCTTGTAAACCAATCAGCTGAAGGACGGGGAAGAAATCAGAAAAATTGGAAGTACCAAAACTTTTCATCACAGCCCACATGATCTCCTTGAGTTCTTGAGATGAATCCGTATCGTAGCTGGCGAAATCGATGGAAAACAGAGTTCTGGACAACAGATTGAGAGAAGTGGTGAAAGCAGCTTCACCGATGTCGACTACTTTCCCAATCCTACTGCAATCACGCAGATAATCACCCAATTCTTTCAGCTTTTCCTGACGAAGACCCTGGCTGCGATCAAGTCTCTGAGTCGAAAAGATTTGCTCTTGGCACATTTTTCGAATGTTTCGCCACTGGGCCGAAGCCGGCAGCCATCCCACCGAGAACTTGTGATGATCTAGTACACGGGCTGCCATGGGTATAGGACGGCTGGAGCAAATCCGGTCATGTGTTTGTAACACTTCTCTGGCAACGCCAGCTGATGATACAAGTACGGTTAACTTGGTTCCTAGCTTAACAGACATAAGAGGGCCATAAATTTTAGAAAGTTGTGCAAATGATCGATGAGGCTTTTGACCAATTTGATGGAGATTGCCGATAAGCGGAATCTGGGATGGCCCTGGTGGAATACGAATTGATCTCCGGCCGGACCTTAATCTCCCGGTGAGCAAGTAAAAGCAGAGCCAGATGACCGAATACAGAACGAGGTAAGACAGGATGGTGGTAGTACTAATGTCCATAATTAGCTTGCTGCCCTTGTTAAAGCTTACCTTCACAGTTAAGATGAAGAACGAGAAGAGAATAACAAGGAATGGAGATAATCTCTTCACGGAACATACAGCAAGAAGCCAAGGTGTAGAAAACAAGGGAAAATAGTACGAGAAAACATATAATTTTGAGAGTTGAGAGTTATTATGTCCATAGATTTTTTTTTTTGGTAAATGGTCAAATTGTATTTCATGTCAGATCTTGATTTCCTGACCATAATTTTTTGGGGACCAGAGACTTTTGAGTATCGTGAGGCTCTTTTTTTTTTTTTTTTTTTTTCGCTTCACCACTCTCACAACACTGTAGTTGAAACAGGGTTTTGGTACTAAAGCCAAACTTTGTTTGGGATCACAAGGGAAAGAGGCAGAGTGTTAGAACTTACTCCCTCCATCTCATAATTATTATCCAATTTAGATTTTCATTTCTAGTTCAAATTGGGACAGAGGAATACATAACAACGATAATTATGCCGATTATTCAAACAAGTATCTTTCATGTCCATCTGCTATCATGATATTTTCTAGTTACAGATTTGTATTTATCCGAAACCATGATCAATGGTACTATTGTGAGCTCTTTTTGACATTAGGAAATCGTGAAAATACATAAGGATGCAGATCAACTGGTAATTGGTTATCCTGAATTCATTGCCGAGACTTCCTATATAATTTTTGGAAATGCCTATAAAATCAAAAGAAAAATCCATTTGTACCATTATTTTCACGATTTCCATCTACAAACATCACCAAATAAGAACGGCAAAAAGAAAGAATAGTAAAAAAAAAGAAAAGAAAAAAAAGTTGTCCAGTTGGCCATGCCACCAAATTGTTGAGTATTGGCTCAATGGGATTGGATCACTAGTTGAGTTATCCAAGATTGGTAAGTCAGGCCACAAATAAGTTCTATCTGATCTCGAATTAAAAGCATTTACAAAGGTGGCAAAGAACTGATATCTTCTAGAAGTAATATTACAATGGATGAGCTGATCACTTCTCTGGAGCACTTGGAGAGTTACTTTACTACAAATCCACAGAATCAGAATTCTAGTACTCTCTATCCCAAAATTATTATCCAGTTAGTACAATTTAAACTAGAAATGAAAATTTAAATTAGACAATAATTATGGGACGGAGTGAATACTATTTAGCGAGAGCTCCCGTTCCCCGAACCATGTCTAAAACATTGACAATAGGTACATTTCGCTGGGACCCATTCTAAAGGACAATGATTGTAGATTCTTAACAGCACAGAAAGCAATTGCTAACTTCAATTTTGGCTGTGTTTAAGTTTAATAGAAGACAAACTGATGGTCATTGAATCAATCAGCAGCAGGATTACATACTTTTGAATTCAGCTCGAGGAAAGGCCTACATACTTGGGATTTTCCAAAGCTCAAAGTTTTTAGGTAACAAAAATCCGAGGCGAAAAATTTGAAATCATGAAAATTGCATGAAATTCGTCACGTAACAACTACACATAATATTTTAAACATATAAAATTAGATGAATAAAACAAAACATAAATACATAAGCATTTTTGTACTTAAAGTATTCGTACAAGAGTTTGTGATAAGATTTTTTTCGCTTTTAAAATTGAAAAAATAGTCGCACTGTATGTTGTTACTCTTGTTAGCATGATCTCCCAATCATGCATATTTGGGGGAAAATAGGGGTAAAAGCAATAAATACAAAACTGTAGGGCGAAATTTGTAATAATAGAGAGTAGTAGGCCAAAAAGAAACCCAAATACAGTAAAAAAAGACCGGTGTCCTTCAGGCAAAAAGCGACCCGAATTCAATATCTCAGTGATGGCGGCTTAGGAAAATTTTTTTTTTTTTTTCAGTTTTTGCAGTTTCTGAAAAAGGAACAATCATCCGTTGACTCAAGTGTAGAGTTTTGATTCAAGGAGCAAAGTTTTTCTCGACCTCACTTCCCAGCTCATAGTCTCATTCAATTCATCGAACAGGTTATCTTTCTATATACTTCTTTTTTGATTTCTGCTTTTTCGTGCTTTCTGGGTTTTCCGGGTTTTGATTTTCTCAATGTTAAAATTTGGGTGTACGTTTAGGGTTTTAGGTGATTGGAGGTTTTTTGCTCTACCGCTTGCTGGATTTTCTTTTTTGAAATTTTGTTTGTGGGAAAATATGCTATCTTTGAAACCAACTTTCTTTCAAACATTTATAACCCAAACGAACCATTCTGCAATATGTTAAGGAATTGGGGCGTTCTACTACTCACCATATATTTCTGTTGAACTACTGGAGCCTATGTTAATCAGCGAAAAGAAACTGATGATAGCTCAACCCAGAAAATCTTTTGTATTTCTGAAGCTTGTGTTTGTAGGAAAGTTTTTTTTTTTTTGTCTATGTAGAGTTGTGAAAAATCCCTCTCACATTTTGTGGATGGTTTTCAAACCAACCTTTATATGTACATAGCCTACAGAGACTTTTACTGGTTATTACAATTGAGAGGTACAGATTCAATTGAGACCCTAAGACGAGGTTTAAAAGGTTGAAAATTTATATTCTCAGGAGCTAACTGGACTTCAAAATCTAATCTTAACAAGAGTGGGAGTCTCGGATAGAATGGCTGAAGAAGAATGCGATGGAGTTGAAGTTGATTTTGAGGATGAAGAGGAGCCAGAGTCAGAGACAGAGAAATTAAAGAAAGAGAAGCGAAAACTTAGAAGGAAGAAGCTGCTGTTAGAAGAAGCTGAGAAGGCTAAAAATCGCGGGGTATGCTATTTGAGCCGGATACCTCCACATATGGATCCTTTACAACTTCGTCAGATACTCTCTCAGTATGGAGAAATACAAAGAATATATCTTGAACCTGAAAGTAAGTCGTTATGTTTCCTTGGTTTTTCTTATCAGAATTTTCTCTCAACCAACAAATTCATAAAAAGAAAGGCTTTTTTTTTTTTTTTTTTTGTACTTGTATGTTATATACTACATAGTTTACTATTGAATCTCATAAAATACCCTTTTATTTTTCACCACAGATGCTGATGCTCAAGTGAAGCGCAAGCAAGCTGGTGGATTTCGTGGTCGAGAATTTTCTGAAGGGTATGGATGACTATCTGATCCGGGAACTTATACGGAAGTCACATCTTTTGTGTCCACTGCAGTATATATTTTGGGATACATGGTTTCTGCTTTTGAAATGCCTTTGATCTTCCACATTGAAATGGATCCTGTTTGTCGTTTTTCTTATTCTGAGTTCATTTGCTTGGACAGGTGGGTCGAGTTTGCAAAAAAGGGTGTTGCCAAGAGGGTTGCCAAAATGTTGAATGGCGAACAGATAGGTATATAATGAATTATATTCTGCTGACAATTTTATTAAGGAAGCTAGGTTGCTAGGACAATATTATTTTGCTACACACGAGTTCCTGCAAATTGATCACGGAAGCAGCAGTAAACTATTGACTCGGCAATGTGACTCTTGAACATATCATTTTTCTCCTTTTTTCTCATTTTTTTTGGGGAACCGCTAAATGCACAACTAAGACCTAATGTTGATGGAGATACTAAAGACATCCCTCGTGTATATAATAGAGCTTGATCTTAACATTGTCAAGTTCTAAGCTGAATTGATCTCTGCTTTAAAGTATCGTAATTGCGACTTTCTGCTTCTATTTTTTGTACATTACCATATAACCATGTGATTAGTGTTTGTTTTGCTGTGGACTGCTTTTGGACATTTTCATATATGAGCTTTTTTCGGTATTCCTTACTCTAGTAGATGATCTCTTCCTCACTGTTGTTTGATTCATAGGTGGCAGGAAAAGGTCAAAATTTTATTATGATATTTGGAATATCAAGTACTTGAGTAAATTCAAATGGGATGATCTTACTGAAGAGCGAGGTATTTCTTCTCAATTTTATTCGTTCATTAATTACTCAAGCACATTTGCTCTGCTAAGAGCTTAATACTTGTTATTTGCAGCACACAAGAAAGCCAGCAGGGAGCAAAAACTGGCATTGGAATTATCTGCGGCCAAGAGAGAGCGAGATTTCTACCTGTCAAATGTTGATCAGGCCCGTGCATTAAATTCCATTGCAGAACGGATGAAGAAGGTGAATCCTCTGATTGCACTTAGCTTTGATTATGTCAATGAGTTCAAAAATTGGCAGATAATCATGTTACAGTGTTATCTCTCAAACCTGTGTACAAGTGACATGACTGCCGCATTTCTTGTGCATCTCATTCCTCCTGAATGTTGGAAACAAATATTGAAGTTTAAATTCTCAAATGGTTGATATTCATTCATTCCTTATCTACAGAAGCAGAAGGTCCAACAGGAATCCGGAGTAACGTCGGATGTTCTGGTTACCGATTTTGTACCAAAGGTTATTCGCCAATTCCCTCAAAAGAAGCCAGTTTTGAGCAATGCTGAAGAAAGGAAGCCTAGATTGTCCAAAGATCTGTTGGCTGGGGTGAGTGCCATGATATTTTTATAAAAAATTTATCTGAGACATTTAATGGGTATTATCTAAAGTTTGAAACATCATAACTCTGCAGATATTTGGTGGTGCGGGTGCGGCAGAATAAACCTGCACTGGGAAGAGGCTGGACAAATGTTTTTTGTAAGAGCTACAGACACCAATATGTTTTAGAATGTTCATGATTTAGTCGTCTACTAATATCGGATATCTAAATATTTTTGGCCTTCTTGGTAACATCGATGAACGGTTAAAGCAAGTAAACTTTAGAGACTGTTCTTTTGCACCGTTTGATATAGACTTAACTTGAGCTCTCTCCATCTTTTTTGTTTTCTTCTTCCTGAAAACAAATTGATAATGAATCCTTTTCCAAGATGGATGGATCGTTGTCAAATTGCTGGCCGATCTAATTCTGTTTTGTCCGAGATTTTGAGTCAAGTCAGATTGGGGGTGGGGGAATGCATCACTTGGCCTTCGCCAGTTTGCCTGATATTCGTCTTTGCACGGTTTATTCGACGTTGCCAGAACGTCCAAGGCTGCAGTAGTATTAGAATTCTGTTCAACTGAGTGATTTCAGGAGTATATATCAGATTTTAACTTGCATCAGTAATCCAAATGATATCTAAACATAAGAACAGGTTCCTTATTCTCCCCGCTTTGGTCATTGAAACTGCCTCAACTATATACATTCAGGGAAGCGTTAATTGCTCAGGAAGACCTTTTTTTTTTTTTTTTTTTTTGGTGAAGTACATAACTCATCATAATACATTACACGACTCCCTTGAGTCATTTTCTAATAGCAAATCAATACAATTTGGGGAACATCAAAAAAATATAACCCCCTATTCAAACCTAGTGCCGCCTTGGCAATAGCATCGGCCTATTCAGAAAGACATTCTCCAAAAACACAAAAAAAAAAAAAAAAAAGAAAAGAAAAAAGAAGAGTCTGTTTTGAAAGACCTTCCGGATTCAAGATTGAGAAGCAGAAACATAGAAGAATCCTCTACTATACATCTCACTGGGGGACATCATTTGTTCAGCAACGCACATTTTTGTGGTATTTGTGACTGCAGATTCCAGTTAGGACATCGAAATGGTGCTTTAAGTTATGATATTCAGCTAAAAGCATAGTAGGTTAAGCATGCAAATTGAATCAGGTTGAACCACAATCTTCACCTCCTTCGCTTCTAATTTCTTACCCGGCCTATAAACATCTCTCAGGTCTACAAAACTCCGTTTTCTTACCCTGCATCTTTGCATCGCATAACTCAATCTCCACATTTTCCCTGTTAACACCACAAAATCTCTACAGTTGAAGAAATGGTTTCCCGGATGGATTACCAATAATTGACGATGGTTGCTCTGCTTTTCTTGCCCATCATTGCTGCTTTAATCACCACCACTCAGAGAGCCGCATCAGCCTCGATGCGACTCATTTTTTACGATCAAACCTGCCCAGGAGCTGAGAATATCATATTCACCCAGATGCAGAGCATTCTCCACAAACCCGACTCATTTTTTACGATCAAACCTGCCCAACAGCTGAGAAAATCATATTCACCCAGATGAAGAGCATCCTCCACAAACCCGATGTGATGCTCAAGTTATTCGAATATGTTTCAGATGATGGATCCAGTTTCAAAGAGAGTCCACCAGAGCCTTACTTGGACAGGTTCTCAAGGTGAAGTCCGAATCAATTGTTCCCTTCCCCAAAACATACTTAATTTATGTTATTAGAATCAATATACCATTATGTTCTACTCCCTCTGTCCCAAAATTATTGTCCAGTTCGAGATTTCACTTTTAGTATAATTTAAAATAAAAATGAAAACTCAAACTGGATAATAATTATGGAACGGAGGGCGTACGACAATTAAGAGAATACAGTTCAGTGAGGTTGTAGTGGATAAATACGGAGGCTTCTGCTTACAGTTTGTGTACTTCTTTCGTCATGCAAAGGATTTAAATTTCCCAGGCCTGATAAAGAATTTAAAGACCATCCCTGCCTTATTATTACAAAAACCATCACAGTTCTTTAAATGAAATTCTTTAAATGGTCTTTGTAAGGCAGGGCAGAAAAATAATGAGGCAGGGATGGTCTTTGTAATCATTTCAACAAGCAGACACAGAATCACCAGAAAAATCAATTGAGGAAGCAAATTATAGAGAATATTAGTGAAGTTTGACATAACCCTGAAGTCTCTGGACAATTCAGATTGCAAGTCCTCAATCAAAGACCTATTGTAAAGCTGCCTGATAAGTTTCCTAATCAAAGACTTGCATTTCTGTGGCCCAACACCCTAGTGATCGTATTTCATCGGTTCCAAAGCCTACCCATCAGGCCATCGGTTCCTAAATTCTCAGCATAATTTTTTCAGAACAATCTCAAATTATAGTTTTCATACTATATTACTCCCTCTGTCTTAGTCCATGTTGATTCTTGAAATTTGTACCGAAAATATCATAAATTCAAAGTGGATTTTTAATTTTTTGGGATAGAGAGAGTACAAAGTATGAGTACTTTGTCAATTCAACAATGCCTGTATTTATTATAGAAAGTGATTTTGCCGGAACACTTTTTAGCATCCAGGACGAAAATGACTTTCCTGCCCTCATGGTGTCGCATTTATCTTCTTCTTCAATCACTATTCTATTTCTGTCTCAAATCAATTAAATCTCTTTTCGTTTCTAGCCTCTGTGGCGGCACTTATAATGAAATTTTCGATGGTGTCATCTACTAAAAACAAAAGTTAACAATAATTCGCGCTGGGTAAAGCTCTTTGATTTTAATTCAATCATTCCTTGAGGGTTTGTTTATTTTAGAGACTTTGATATGCAATTATTACTCCTTTAGCGTCCAAATTTTTCTCTCTCTTTTTTTTGGTCGGAGGGAATTGATTTTCCTCCTCTTATGCAGTTCCAAATTTCTTTGGAAATAAAACGATGTAGATCAAAGAAGATTGAAGCAGATTACATGAGTGCTCTTTTATCCTTTTTGTTTGGAACCCGTCCATTGGAACCAATATGATTTTTCCATTCATAAGTAGTTTTAAAAGTTCTAGATTGTTTAACCAGCGAATGGCGGGAGAGAGATGTAGTTTAATTATAGTTTATTGGAGAGGAAAATTAGATTGGTTGTGAACCAGAGGAAATTAAGTGGCAATCTGGACTTAAGAATAACAGAATAATGACATCTATCAATCTTGGATCAATGAGCTAATTTTTCTCAAATGTCTTAATCTTGTATCTACGTATCTCATGTCAGGCGGCTCTGATTAAGATGTTTGCTCCATAAGGGTATTTTTGGAAAAAGAGGTTATTTGCCCTGGATGCTATTTATTATCCTGACATAATCATCTTCCATTTATTATTTATTATTTCTGTCCCAGAAAAATAGTCCAATTTAAAAAATTAAAATATAAAAATTAGATGATCAATCTTACAAATTTAAAAAATAAAATAAAAAAACTGAATAAACGAATCAAATTTGATACTCTCATACGTGAAAGCTCACTTTGAAGATCTAGTCAACTATACACTTGTGTAAATAAGAAATTTATTTATTTATTTTTTTGTCATTCTTTAACTAAACATGCAAAAAACATGCTTTAAAAAAATATTGGGACTCCATTCCTCAATTTGTACCTCACATCGTATTGGATGGTTCAAAAAAAAAAAAAAGTTTATACCAATTTTTTTTTAGTCAAAAGCGATAATCATTTTTTATCATAGATAAACAACCACAGCAAAAACTTACTGTTGAAATAAAACAGTCTGCTCTTCAAGGTACGCCTAAGTACAGAACAAGAGATAAATTCCATTATATGTATAGAGTTAGACAAAGCTAATATGACAAGATTGAACCAACTCACTGAATACATTAAAGATATAGCACAAAAAGAGTATGTAAAAGAACCAAAATTCTGAAAAATGAAATTCAACTATGATCTAACAAGACTAGAATTGTCGATATGGCTCTCCTTCTCTTCTTTCTTCTCTCAGTTTCTTTGAGAGAGAGAGAGAAAAGTTAAAGAGAGGGGAAAATATTTTTACACTTATTGTGTAAAAACTAATAATACCAATCTCAGAAGTTCGATTTTAAGATTTTTATTTTTGAAATTGGAGTATTTTTCTGGAATAGAGATAATATTATATTTTCGGTGTAAATGTCAAAATGTTTTGGGCATTAAACAAGGCGGGCTTAACTCATTTTATAAAAATAAAACCTAAGTGGGGCCTTGTGAAATTTGATACCGCGCTCTTAATTGGCCCCAATAGCGTTAATAAACAAAGCTAAGCCTAATAGCCCAATAGGCCCATATCAATAGTAGAGCTTACTAACTGGTATTACTTGGCTGGTTCGGCCTTCTCTTTCGCGCTGTGTTCGCCTTCTATTTCGATCGTTCTTCGTCCCCGATTCTTTTCATTTTCTTTCTCTATTGGGTTTATCAATTTTTTTCTTTTCTGGATTTCTGCCAATTTGATTTCTCCAGAACCAGAATCAATGAGAAGTACTATTCATCTGCATTCTTAATAAGGTAAGCTAGCGATTATTAACATTTGTTCGTGCGTACTGCATTTCTCTTCGCCGGCGGGACTTGCTTTGATTTGATGATTTCTTTTTTTTTTTTTTTTTTTTTTGAGATTTTGGTTTTTGTTACACGGGGAAAATAATGCAATGAATTTGTTCCTAAAATGTGATGTTAGTGTATTCTGGAATTTTTGCCGAACTTATATTGCGTCAACTGGATCTAACTTCAGTGGACTTTTTCTAAAAACATAGGTTTCTAATTTGATTGTTTTGAGAATACTGGGATGAAAATGAGTAATCAGGGTTTTAATGTTTAAGTTGTATTCAATGTTGCTGTTTGATCACATTAGGTGTTTGTTTTGGTGGTCAACAGTAAGGCGTTGGCTTGTTCACTTACTGTAAGCTTTTGGAGTGTCTTCAAAGCTACTTTTGATTAGCTTTTACTGCGACTTTGTGTTTTTTTTTTTTTCCATATCTTTGTTGGTTCAGTAATTTTATGACTACGATCAAGTTTTTTGAAATGTGTGATTCCTTGATTTTGCAGTGATGTGTCTTGATCACTCTTTTTGTTTTTGTTTTTTTTGTTTTTAGTTTTTTGGTCTTTAGAATGTTCCAAATAGGTTAAATATCTTCTTATGCTTTTAGGTTAGCTTGAACCTATATCAGAATGGAAGAAGAGTCAGAAATTAAAGAGCATGGAGAAACTTCTGGTCGGGAACCAGATATTGTTAAAGAAGCTGGTACTATAGATGAAACAGTAGGGACTTCTCGTTCAGAAACTTTTGATTATACTAGTGGTAGTGCAGATGATTTAGAAAGTACTGAAGGTTTGCAAGCATACAATTCTGCAGTTTCAGTTGCAGATGATGATCTGTTTGAGCCCGTTTCATTAAAAGACCAAGATAAAAGTATGGAAGATGCATACCAGTCGCCTAAGTTTGATAGTGTGAGAAACTCATCTGGTGGAAGCGAAGACACATTTGAGTTTGCTTTTGGGAAAGTCACCCCAGGTTTTAGTTCTCCTCCCAATGCCGACATACACCATGGTCACCACTTCTCCAGTCCTGGGCCCGGGAGGGAATCTGTTGATGGTGCTCAAATTTCTCCCACATCCGCCAGTGTTGATTCTGCTTTATATTCTTATGGAGATGGATCTTTCTCCCCTATTGACTCACCTGAAAAGCATAGGTCAAAACAGGTTGTGCCAAATGTCTCCCCTGAACTCTTGCATCTTGTGGATTCTGCTATTATGGGAAAGCCTGAGAGCTTGGATAAGCTGAAGAATATTGTCAGTGGGGTTGAGAATTTTGGATACGGGGAAGAAGCTGACACTATAGCTTTTTTGGTTGTTGATTCACTTCTTGCTACAATGGGGGGTGTTGAATCTTTTGAGGATGAGGATAACAACCCTCCAAGTGTGATGCTGAACTCCAGGGCCGCCATTGTTGCAGGCGAGCTCATTCCTTGGCTTCCGAGTATTGGAGATATTGCTGGCCTCATGTCTCCTAGGACTCGAATGGTTAGAGGTTTGCTGGCTATTTTGCGTGCCTGCACGAGAAATAGGGCTATGTGCTCTATGGCTGGTCTATTGGGGGTCCTTTTGCGGTCAGCTGCTAAGATTTTTCTTCAGGATCATGATTCAAGAGAGCAATTGAGATGGGATGGAACTCCTTTGTGTTATTGCATTCAGCACTTAGCTGGGCATTCTCTTAGTCCCAGCGACTTGCATAGTTGGTTCCAAGTGATTACAGAAACCCTTCATACTAAGTGGGCTGCACGGTTAACACTTTCTTTGGAGAAGGCAATGGGTGGAAAAGAGTCAAGGGGTCCAGCATGCACATTTGAATTTGATGGTGAAAGCTCTGGTTTGCTTGGTCCTGGTGACAGTCGTTGGCCATTCATAAACGGTTATGCCTTTGCAACTTGGATATACATTGAGTCATTCGCTGACACTCTAAATACAGCTACTGCTGCAGCTGCAATTGCAGCAGCTGCAGCTGCCACATCAGGGAAATCATCTGCTATGTCAGCTGCCGCCGCCGCTAGTGCTTTAGCCGGTGAAGGTACGGCACACATGCCACGACTCTTCAGCTTTTTGTCTGCTGATAATCAGGGGATGGAAGCGTATTTTCATGCCCAGTTTTTGGTAGTTGAAACTGGTAGTGGGAAGGGCAGGAAGGTTTCTTTGCATTTCACTCATGCATTTAAGCCGCAGTGTTGGTACTTTGTTGGACTTGAACATACATGCAAGCAGGGACTTCTTGGAAAAGCAGAGAGTGAACTAAGGTTGTACATTGATGGATCATTGTACGAAAGCCGTCCTTTTGATTACCCACGGATTTCCAAGGCTCTAGCATTTTGCTGTATTGGAACGAATCCTCCTCCAACTATGGCTGGCTTACAACGGCGCCGACGTCAATGCCCTTTGTTTGCTGAGATGGGTCCTGTATATATCTTTAAGGAGCCCATTGGGCCAGAGAGAATGATGCGTTTGGCTTCTAGGGGGGGTGATGCATTGCCATGTTTTGGTATTGGCGCTGGTTTACCTTGGCTAGCTGCAAATGAGCATGTGCAAAGGATTTCAGAAGAAAGTGCTCGTTTGGATGCTGAAATTTCTGGATACCTTCATCTCCTGTATCACCCTAGCCTACTGAATGGCCGTTACTGTCCAGATGCTTCCCCGTCTGGTGCTGCAGGTTTGTAAAAATTTCTGGATCTCTCATTATTTGGATTTGGTGCTGCTTGTTTTTTGGGTTTCTTTTATATTTATCATACAAAATGATATGAGTTTTGAACTGTTTCAAGCATTTTTGATATGTTTCCTCTATCTCGAGTCTTTGGATGGTGACTCAATTTCTAATGTTTGGATCGGCTAATTCTGCTATAGAGTTGTAGAGGAAGCTTGAATTTGATGCACGAGTCCTTCACTGTTTTAGTTTTAAACTTTGAAGTAATTAAATTCAATATGTTAGTATGCTAGGAAACAGAAACATAGTGGGAGATTTTATTATTATTATTATGTATCTGTCTGCTTCTGTTGTTATCAGGTTCTTGATTGTGTGTTCAGGACTTACAAGATATTTGCATTACATAATTTCTTAATTTGTCTGCATTGTCTTTGACCAAACGGTTAACCAACTTTATTTATTTTCTCTGCCTTTACTGATGTTATTATTTGCTGGCATCTATCCTTACGAAAGATACAAACATGAGTCATCATGTAGTCCTTGGTACTTTCTGAGAGTGTTGAATGATTGATCTGAATCACTTTTTTGGTTAGAATATCTGGCATTGTGCTTTGGAAGCTTCATTTTTTAATTGGTAAGGCCGTGATTCCACCAGAGATGGGATCCGATGAGCTTCCAAATTTTGGCCGCGACATTTTTTAATTACTTCAGTGTTAATAGTATTATAAGTTGAGCTTTGCACTTCTTAATTCTTATGTGAAATACTTTGGAATATATTAGGCATGCAGCGAAGACCAGCTGAGGTTCTTGGGCAAGTGCATGTAGCGAGCAGAATGAGGCCTGCTGAGGCTTTTTGGGCCTTGGCCTATGGAGGTCCTATGTCTTTACTTCCATTAGCAGTGAGCAATGTGCATGAGAATAGTTTGGAACCACAACAAGGAGACCTTTCGTTGTCGTTGGCCACTACTTCTCTGGCTGCACCTATTTTCAGAATTATTTCTCTAGCTCTTCAATGCCCTGGAAACGTTGAAGAATTGTGCCGTAGGAGAGGACCTGAAGTTTTGTCAAGAGTTTTAAATTACCTCCTTCAAACTCTGTCTTCACTTGACACTGCAAAAGGGGATGGAGTTGGCAATGAGGAACTTGTCGCATCAATTGTCTCTTTATGTCAATCTCAGAAACAAAATCATGCATTGAAGGTGCAGCTTTTCAGTACTCTGCTGCTAGATCTAAAAATTTGGAGCTTATGCAGCTATGGGTTGCAAAAGAAGCTTTTGTCTTCACTTGCTGATATGGTCTTCACTGAGTCATCTGTCCTGCGAGATGCCAATGCCATTCAGATGCTTCTTGATGGCTGTAGGCGGTGTTATTGGACAACCCGTGAGAGTGATTCTGTGGATACATTTTCAGTGGATGAGGCTGCACGTCCTGTTGGTGAAGTTAACGCTTTGGTTGATGAACTATTAGTGGTGATTGAACTGTTGATTCTAGCAGCTCCCCCCTCGATGGCTGTGGATGATGTCCGCTGTCTCCTTGGGTTTATGGTTGACTGTCCACAACTAAATCAGGTACGCAGATCTTTTTTGATGTTTAATGATTTTTTCTTTTAATGGTGGTTGCATATTCGCCTTTAGTGGTTATCCGTGTTATTAGTAGAAGTTACAAGTTATCGAATCTGTATCCCACCTAATATTTTCAGTGTCTCTCCCCCCAAGTGATGCCTCGAGTATGCTTATCACTATGGTTCACTTATCTAAACCTCAATTTGATTAGCTTCCTTCCCCTCTTACTCCCTTTAAAAATCTGTACTCGTAATTATTTAATGCTTATTTCGAAATCCTTTATTATATTCATGAGATCTTACTTGTTGCAGGTGCCTAGGGTGTTGCACCTAATATATAGGTTAATTGTACAGCCTAATGCGTCCAGAGCACAGTCCTTTGCTGAGGCCTTTATGATGAATGGTGGTATAGAAACATTACTTGTTCTATTGCAGCGGGAAGCGAAAACGAGGGATCACGATGAGCCAGACTTATCTTTTGAGACTGGTAGAAATCTATCAGAGGGGGATTCAGAATTAGAAAATAGGGTTGGTCCTTTAGAAAGTAATCATGATGGTAATAAAGGATCAGTGGAGGAACATGAGTTAACTTCACCTGACAAAACCAAAGTTGACTCCTCTAAGATTGAAAGGATGTCATCAGTATCTGAGTATCTTTTTGTTAAGAACTTGGGTGGTATCAGTTCCTCAATAAGTGCTGAAAATGCGAGGAAGAATGTTTACAATGCTGATAGAAGTGATGGTGTTGTTGTTGGGATCATAAACCTATTGGGCACTTTAGTTATCTCTGGACATCTTAAATTTGGTGCACATGCTCCTCCAGACATGACAAATAATCTTCTTGGGGTGCTCGAGGGAGGAGGAACCATGTTTGACGATAAGGTTTCACTTCTACTTTTTGCTTTACAGAGAGCTTTTCAAGCAGCGCCGAACAGGCTTATGACTAGCAGAGTCTACACGGCATTATTGGGTGCCTCGGTATGACATGATACTAATCTCCCGGTTTTGTTTTTCTTTTACCTTCCTGCACCTGGGGAAAATGAAATAGGGTTTGCTATGTTGAGCATTTTTCTTCTTTTGCCCTTATATTTACAGCTAAGGAAAATTGTGAAAGACTTTGGTTTCTAGGTGAACTATGTGGCATGACAATGTTCATGGTGTTGACAACTTGTCATTTTAATTAACTTAATGATGTCCAAACTTGATTATCTGTGTTAATGTTGTAACAGCTATAATATGCTTATGTTATTTATTTTATGATCTTGTTAGTCATTACACATGATGCAACTCCTTTTCTTTTTCCCCGAGCAGTGAAACTTTGAGAGATGCAACTTCTGTATCGCAGATGTCGCTGTTCTCGAATTCTATGTGTTTGATGGATTATCCTTCCCTTCTTTCTAATTCGATTATGTAGTGTGTACTACAATTTTTAATGGATCATAATCAAAAGAGATTAATCTTATACTCAACAATCTCCATTGTTGCCACTCTTATAGTTGTTCGTCTTTCCAGTAGTAGTGCAGTTAAACCAATACTGTTTAAGGGTTATTATTTATATTATTATTATTATTTTTTTTTTGGGGGTGTTCTTCTTACCCTGTAATCTTGTTTCTAACTAATGATGGTACTGTCATGGAAAGAATGTGCCTTCTATGCCTTAGTGTTGCTTTGCTCCCTGAATTGATTCTATGCGTGTTAGAATTACTAATTGTCAGCTCACTTCCACTAGGTGCTTTACAGTGGGGATGTGTTAAACTATTTTCCAGAAGTTTGTTGTTCATCATCCTGCAATGCACTAGCTATGTCCCTTAGCATGTGCATGTACTTTTTTTTTTTTTGGGGGGTTAGAAGTCTCTGCTCTCTACATAATGTGGGAGTTGCTTAATCCAGATTTGTTGATGATTATCCTTGCTTTTATTGGGATTTCCTATGTAAGCTAGGCAACAGGAGGCAAGATTTTGGATAATAAAAATTACCAAGTTTGCCAATACTCTTTTTGTTGAACTTTTGAGATCCAGTGAAGCTTTCTGAAACTTTTAATCCGAGATTACTTCTAGTTCTTTTTGGCTACTAAACCGTAGAATTAAAATACCTAATGTTCAGATATTCGGCAGAAAATAAAGACATTGGCACAAATTCACAGTGATGAATGTATAATTAGGGTGAAAATTGAAGGGGAAAAACATTAATCAAATTCCAACATTAGAACTGTGACATTTAGGATCAGAAGTCTAATTACTTCCCCTAAACCCTAAATCCCCCTTAATTTAATGGTTTCATAATTTAATTTACTCCCTTCGTCCCATAATTATTGTCCAGTTTGGGTTTTCATTTTTAGTTCAAATTGTACTAAAAGTGAAATCTCAAACTGGACAATGATTTTGGGACAGGGGTAGGTTTATTATTATTATTTTGGGTAAACAGTTGATTATCATTAATCTCTAACAAACATCCGGTTTCTATACAAGTTCCCATTTCTTTGTATCTATTACATGTTTCAGCAACTCATTTCCAAAGCATTTACATGAGACCTAACCTGTACAAGTGTTTACATTGATTTGTTGCTGGTTTTAGTCTTTTTGTTTTTGATGGTTGACTTCTTATTCCGGCAAGTCGAGAGGCTATTATCAGTTATAGGAAGGTTCATTTGATAATTTTAGCAAACATGGGGTGGTGGGTTCAATATATTTGTTCGTTTCCTAATTGAAAACTTTTATATTTTCAACTATTAGTTTTGCAGGGGTTTTCCTATAATGTGTTCATTTATTTAGGCAAAATGTTTATGAATAGTGGCTGATATAGTTTTTGGTTTTGCAGATAAATGCATCTTCAGATGACGGGCTGAATTTTTATGATTCTGGTCACCGATTCGAGCACATGCAGCTTCTGTTGGTTCTATTACGTTCACTTCCATACGCATCAAAGGCATTCCAAAGTCGAGCACTTCAGGTACTCGTTTGGAATCCTCTTGCTTCTGATTTGTCAATGCTTGTTGGTCTTCTGTAGCATTTACTTTTTTTTTTTTTTTCAACTGTGCCATATGTTTTTTTCTAATTTCTCTTTTGTTTTTGGGGGTTGGTCACGACGTTATTGTTAAGTCACGTAGGTTTAGGATAATCTGTTGATAGGTGAAGCCTTGAAGGCCCATGACATATTTACGATACATGTTCCATGCTTCATTTTTCGACTTCAATGTATTAGATAAACATGTGTTCCGCAATCTGAAGATACTTTGACGGCCCGTGATATATTTATCATACATATGCCATGGTTCCTCCATTTGGGGACTTCAAATAACTGTTCGATTGATCTGTTAGATGAAAAGTATTCACAAGGAGAACCCATGTCCAAAATGATGGAGTTTTAACTTTTTATTTACTTAACATCGTCAAAATGAGGATATAAAATATCTAATAGACTCTTGACGTGGATATCTAATGGATAGCAACACAGTTAAGCAACATCTGAAAGGATATTGAAAGTTACCTTTTTTTGTAATGATCTGGTGTGTTTATTAGTTGTATTTCACATCCGAACTTGATTTTGCTGATCCTTCTGTTTCTCATCTTTCCGGTCTCTCTCTGTGTAGGATCTCCTAATCTTAGCTTGCAGTCAGGCAGAAAATCGAAGCACTTTGATTGGCATGGAGGAATGGCCTGAGTGGATTTTAGAGATACTTATTTCAAATTATGAGGTAATGGTTTCTCATAAATGCTTTCTTAATGCTGTTTCCTAATTTTACTGCAGCTGTTTTGATTGACATGGTAAACCATAACCTCAGAAATTCTTTGTATGAACACCTTCAAATGGTGCTGGTTTTTTCCTTCCAGTTTTCTAAAATGCTTCTTCTATCTGTTTGTTTTCTAACTTTTACTTGCATTATCCAGACAGGAACAACTAAAAATGAAGCTTCACCAACTTTAAAAGATGTGGAAGATCTGATACACAGCTTCCTGATAATTATATTAGAGCATTCAATGCGCCGTAAAGATGGATGGCAGGTTATTACTATATCAATTTCGTACTTCCATCTTTTCAAACCATGCCTTCTAAAATGAAGATGCCCACTTTAAGGATAACTTTTTTGGAAGTTTGTTCATGACAAACAAAAGGCAAATTGAAGGGGGCTGTCTGTTTTGCTGAAATGAGATTGTAAGCTTATCAAATTTATGGGGGACATATGTAAAGTAGAAAACTCTTTGGAGGTCTTCTGGATGAGCTTCTAGAAAATATTTTTAACTCGGTTCTTCATAAGATGAAGATTTGTGTAGTTGAGATCCTGATGTGGATTCTTTTATGTGTAGAAATGTAAATGTTGTAACCTTATTGTGAAAATCTTTGGCTAAACCTTTTCTTTGAGTTTTTTGGTCTGGTATTATTCCCTTGATTTATCTAGTTATAGGCTCAAAACCTGAAGAGAATTCTGAAAAGAAAATATTGAGGTTTTCTGTTAACAAGTTCATAGGTGAATGCAGATTCTTTTACGTCGCTCGCATGGTTTATGCTGATAATTTGAACAATGGATTTTCTTGTTAGGATTTGGGATTGATTACTGGACTTAACTTCTTAATTTTGGGAATTGCTTTTCGTTTATAGTTGCTCTTCTGTGACTTCTATTTTTCTTTTTTCTTTTTGAATTTCTTTCAAGTTACATGGGTTGACTTCTAATACTTCACCTTGACAGGATATTGAAGCTACAATTCACTGCGCAGAATGGCTCTCAATGGTGGGTGGTTCTAGCACAGGGGACCAAAGGATAAGGTATTACAGCCTATTTACTTGTACAGCTCATAGTGTATGCAATTATCTTCACTGTTGCTAAGAAAAGCTTCATAGGATGAGATAAAAGGGTGGATTGATCTTTGTCCTTGATAAAGACATAGATAAGAGTTGTTGAGTGAGTACCTTTTCTTGATTTCACCGTGACTAGTTATGCGTCCGTTTATGAATTTCCTTACCACATTGTTTACTTAATTTCTTTTGTTCTAAACCTGGTCTATTTTGCCCTGGGGTTGGTAGAAGCCTACAATCATTTATAACTGACCTGGTACTGGTCTGATAATTTATTCAAAGTAATGGTACATTTTCCAAAGATCTCTGTTACTTTGTTGCTTTTTGATGTTTCTAAAGCTCCCAAATAACTTCTAATTCCTATGTTGTGCGGCATTGATATTATAATTTTGTGGAAGTTTATTTGGGAGGACGAATGTGAATTTGGTTGGGCAAACTCCTTCTTTGGATGGAATACAACAAGAATGGCTTAGTTTATCCTTACTGGTGTTGTGGATCAGCTTTTTCTTCCATACTCTGTTGGAGAAGAAGAAACTCCACTCATTTGCACAAATGGGCTGTAAAAGAAATGATTTGTGTAAACCCAAATGAGAGCATATCTTTCTTATTGATCATGATGGCAAGATACTATCTTTGTAGTCATTTTCACATAGTGGTTTAGTTTTTGCTGTTGGTAACATTATTGCAGTTTCTGTAATTGATAATGTAGTTACCGCATGTAATGGCCGCAAAATTACCTAAATTTCTTTTGATCAAATTTAAGAAAGTACAAGTCTTCTGTTGATTTTGAGCTTGTATACTTTCCTTCTATTTATGAATTATTACAGACGCGAGGAAATATTGCCAATTTTCAAGAGAAGGCTCTTGGGCGACTTACTAGACTTTGCTGCAAGAGAACTACAGGATCAGGTAACGTTGTCTCCTGAAGTCTAGTTGCTCCTTTGTTTTTGAAAATTGACACTCTTGTCATTGTGGTTTTATTTTCTGGCCTTCGTTTCTAACTCCTTTCCCAGAAACTTTTACATTTATATTTCACATTTAACTGTTTAACAGAAGATGAAACTTTTCACTTAGCAAAAAGTTTGATGTTCTTACTACATGTTATACCCTCCAGTGCGCTTATTAAGAATTTCACTTTATTTTTGTTACTCCCTCTGTCCCGAAAAAATAGCACATTTGAGTTTTGAGATTTATACTTTTTTTTTTTTTTTTTTTTGGATGGTAGATTTGTGCTATTTAGTGACAGAGGCTTCTTTCTGTGGCTAGAAATTATATATCAATCTAGAGGCTCTTTTCAGATTGGCAGTGATATCTATTTTCCCTTTTCTCCCATATTTTAAATTTCCAGATTCCCTCCTGTCTTTATCTTTCTGCACTTCCACTCTGTTTCTTTCCTCTATTAAGTATCAACAATAATTGGCTTTTCTCATCTGGCTAATATTGTCAATGCTTACCTTGTTGTCAATTCTGATTTCTGAATCTCATACGGAGTAGTTAAACTTAACTGTTGTAGCTTCTAAATTTGCTTTTCTGTTTGAGCAGACTCAAGTCATTGCTGCCGCTGCCGCTGGGGTAGCAGCCGAGGGCTTGTCACCTAAGGAAGCTAAGGTGGAAGCTGAAAATGCTGCTCAACTTTCTGTAGCCTTGGTGGAGAATGCTATAGTAATTTTAATGTTGGTCGAAGATCACTTGCGGTTGCAAAGCAAACTCTACACGACTTCACGTTTTCCAATTGTCTCTGCTTCTCCTCTTTCAACTGTTTTACCTGTTGGTGGTCGTGCTTCGACCTTGGTTGGAGAGCCTCTAGAATCTGTGCCGGAGAATAGATCTTCATCTAGTGATTCTGCAGGACTTCCTCTAGACGTATGCCCCAAAGCATCCTGCTTATTTTTCTGCATGAGAGCGAACAAGTGTTTGGAGTTTTGTGGCCTGTTTTATTTGTCAACTTAACTGTGAAAATTTCCTTTCCTACTTTTCTGTTTTTTCTCCTTGCAAGCTGCCATTTTTCTTGTGGACGTTACTGATGTCGTGAAACTCAGAATTGCTTTTAGGCCCTGTTTTATATGTCAACTAAACTGTGAAAATTTCCTTTCTTACTTTTCTGTTTGGTTCTCTATCTTGCAAGTTGCCATTTTTCTTGTGGACCTCACTGATGTCGTGAAACTCAGAATTGCTAATTTAGGCCCTGTTTTATATTTCAACTAAACTGTGAAATTTTCCTTTCCTACTTTTCTGTTTGGTTCTCTATTGCAAGCTGCCATCTTTCTTGTGGACCTCACTGATGTCGTGAAACTCAGAATTGCTAATTTATGATCTGACTCCAACAGAGTGCTAATTTTGTGAGAAAGTGAATATGTTACGTCTTTTTTCTTACTCAGGTTCTTGCTTCAATGGCTGATGCAAATGGACAGCTTTCTGCTGCTGTGATGGAAAGACTTACAGCTGCCGCGGCAGCTGAACCTTATGAATCAGTTTCTTGTTCTTTCGTGTCATATGGAAGCTGTGTCATGGATTTAGCGGAAGGATGGAAGTATAGGAGTAGATTATGGTATGGTGTTGGCCTGTCTTCTAAAACAACTGTATTTGGCGGTGGTGGGAGTGGTTGGGAAGCTTGGAGATCAGCACTAGAGAAGGATGCTGATGGCAACTGGGTTGAACTTCCTCTTATAAAAAAGTCTGTCTGCATGCTTCAAGCTTTGTTATTGGATGAGTCTGGACTTGGTGGTGGGCTTGGTATAGGAGGAGGATCTGGGACTGGAATGGGAGGCATGTCTGCCCTCTATCAGTTATTAGATAGTGATCAACCCTTCTTATGCATGCTCCGGATGGTGCTTGCTTCCTTAAGAGAAGAGGATGATGGTAAGGATAATATGCTTGTAGATGTGGAGGAGGGCTCATCAGAATTCCAACGCAGGCAAACTGGGAATATTCTATCATTTGATGTAAATGCTCGAATGTCATTGAGAAAACCACGGTCATCGCTGCTCTGGAGGTATAGCTATAATTATCTGTTATATCATGTGGTAGTATTATCAATGCAATCATGTTTCTTAGCTTAAATGTGATAAAGATGTCAAGCAGGCTAGTTTGTCATTGACTTTTGACAACTTTGTAACATGGTAATTATAATGCCAACTTTGTAACTTTATAACATTATACAGTGTACTTTCACCGGTCCTCAACATGCCAGTTTCTGAATCAAAGAGGCAGCGGGTACTGGTGGCATCATGTGTTCTATACTCTGAGGTCAGCTTTATGTACAGAAAGGCTGCATTTCACTCGCAGATTAGTTAATGTTGTTTTGTTATTGTCAGCTAGACATGTTCATATGTTTATCGTAGCATTTGGCAAAAATTGATAATTTTGCTTTGATCTTGATATCTAAAGTAAAGTTTCAGTGATGAGATCTTTAAGGATGCTGCGTTTTTAGATATTAACTGTTGTTTTTATGATTTCATGAAAACCTGTTTTCGGTTTCTTTACAACAACAAGATACCCTGTATATTCCCAACTACGTTGGGGTCAAGATGTACGCAGCCTTATCACTGTATTTCAGTACAGAGAGTCTGTTTAAGTACGACCCTGGGTGCATGGGTTCATTTGATGTATTGATTTCCTTGTGCTTCTCTGTGTTTAGTCTGGTGAAAGTTTACAAGTTTTGTCTGCCTTGATTTTTATCTTCAAGGATACACGGGTTCCATTTTATAGTGGAAAACTGATAATTCCTTTTCAATTGTAACTTGTTCTTCAGCAATTTTCCTATTGTATGTAAGAGAAGCATGTGTCCATAGTTGACTATTTTGGTGAAATTTTGATGTCACAGGTATGGCATGCTGTCAGCAGGGATAGAGTTCCTCTACGTAAGCACTATCTGGAAGCAATTTTGCCGCCATTTGTGGCTGTTTTAAGAAGGTGGCGACCCCTTTTGGCAGGCATTTATGAACTTTCGACTGCAGATGGTTTGAATCCTCTTGTTCTTGAGGACCGTGCATTGGCGGCTGATACTTTACCCATTGAGGTTGCTTAACTAAACCCAATGTGCTAATTTCTTCTGATTGTGCATATTTGTGTAAAAGTTACTTTACTAGTATGGTTGTATACTTCACTTTGTCTTTAATGTCAATAGTACCTTGAAATTTCTAGGCTGCTCTTGCCATGATTTCTCCAAGCTGGGCTGCAGCATTTGCATCACCACCAGCCGCGATGGGTTTAGCCATGATTGCTGCTGGGGCTGGTGGAGGTGAAACAAGTGCACCTGCAACAACATCTCATCTCAAGCGTGATTCTTCGCTTCTTGAACGTAAAACTGCCAGGCTTCAAACCTTCTCAAGCTTTCAAAAACCTTTGGAGGCACCCAGTAAATCTCCTGCAGTTCCAAGAGATAAGGCTGCTGCAAAAGCAGCTGCCCTGGCAGCTGCCAGAGATCTTGAACGCAATGCTAAAATTGGTTCTGGAAGAGGTCTTAGTGCTGTGGCAATGGCTACCTCGGCGCAGCGGCGGAGCAAGAGTGACATGGACCGAGTGAAGAGATGGAATGTTTCTGAAGCAATGGGAACTGCATGGTTGGAATGCTTGCAATCCGTTGATACTAAAGCAGTATATGGAAAAGATTTTAATGCTCTGTCATACAAATATATCGCCGTCCTTGTTGGAAGTCTAGCATTAGCAAGAAACATGCAAAGATTGGAGGTTTAAATCTACTTCTGTTAATTGCATATAGTTGCTAATCTTTCAGAGTAATAAAAAAGTAAATCTTATGCACTTATCCTTTCAGGTTGAGAGGCGCATGCAAGTTGAAGTTATTGCTCGCCATAGACTTTATACAGGAATACGGGAATGGCGGAAGCTGATACATTATTTGATAGAGTCTAAATGCCTTTTTGGCCCATTTGGTCATCGTTTAAGCAATCCTCAGCGTGTATGTTTCTGAAATTAAGTTTCTTATCAGTATCTTCATTTTTTATGTTTTTTTTTTATGTTTTTGGGTAATTTTTTTTCTATATTTCATTTGTAGTTTTAACGGACATATCTAATTTTCAGGTCTTCTGGAAGCTGGACTTTGTGGAAAGTTCTTCAAGAATGCGAAGATTTTTGAGAAGGAACTACCGGGGCTCAGATCATTTTGGTGCTGCGGCAAACTACGAAGATCCTTCGGATCTGAAGCTAGATAAAGATAATGTCATTAGTCCTTCGAAGGCCTCTATTTTGGCTGCTGAGGCAATATCAATGGAAATAATTAATGATGAGGATGACCAAGAAGATAGTGCTAATCCAGGAGGTGGGGAGACTCAAACGGAACAAAATGGGGAGATTCAGGCGAGAATTAGTGAAACCGCTGAGCAGCCTTTGAGCACGCCGGCAAAGTCTGGAGACACCCCTGTTTCGAGTGACCAAGACTTGGCGCAAAATACTGCAGCTGTAGCTCCTGGTTATGTTCCTAGTGAACAAGATGAGAGGATTATCCTTGAGCTTCCTTCATCAATGATCCGGCCATTAAAAATTTTAAGAGGGACTTTTCAAGTAAGTTTTGCTTCACATTATCTTACTTACTATCAGAACTTCAGCACAAAACTGTGTGGATTATTTTCTAGATGCATGATCGCAACGGTGATAATGATGTAAGACTGATCAACTGAAGTCATGCGATTATAATCAAGAAAAGCATTACTCTTGTGAGCTGAATTCATTCATTCAGTATGAAGTTCCTGACTGATTAATGCATTAAATTGTAGTTTGGACTATGTAAATATCTTTCTACAATTAAATTGTAGTTTGGACTATGCAAATATCTTTCTACAATTTCGAGTTTTACTTTGTATGCTTACCTCATGTCACCTATCTTCCTAGTTTGGCCAAGTGACCAAGCTAATAATTTGTCTGTTAGGAGTAAATAGTTATGGAGTATTTCGCTTGGTGTGAAATCTTCGTCTATGATTCTTGGTCTCTGTTGAATGTTCATACTTTCACAAAACACTCGTCTAGGAAATGGAGAATCTTTTTCTCCTAGCTTTCCCTTAGCAAGTCTTCTTTAATCCACGAGAGATCTCTTGAATCCCTTATAATGTGGATAACTTGAAGTATTAATTTTAGTTCATCGCATTAAAAAATATGATGGCATTGTTCCGGGGAAAAAAACTATACTAGATTTGTACATGCACTTTAATGTTGTTGGGTGGTCTTTGGGTGTGTTGTGGTTGATAGTTTCTCATAATGTATCCTAGCTAGTTTCTCATATATGTATCTTCTTAATTCCAAAGTCTGATTGTAGAAATTTGTTCTCTTGTCAGATAACAACGAGAAGAATCAACTTCATTATTGATAATAATAATGAGAGTAATTCTTTTGGGGATGGGTTGGACTGCAGAAATGAAACAAAAGTTGACGAGAAGGATCGGAGCTGGTTGACATCTTCCCTACACCAAATATATAGCAGAAGGTTACTTTATATTTGCTCTACAAATGCTGCACCAAATATTTTAATATAGAGTGTAGCCAATCAGCTTTTTGATTGATGATGGATTATGTCGACTTACTTTTCCCTTCATGTTTTTGTCTAGCATAACTTTGTCAGTCAAAGATCCTGTCAAAGCAGCACTGATTATTTTTCCCCCCTTCTATAAGTATAACTATGCAGGTTTTCCATTTCGAGTAATCTCTTCTTCCTCTGAAATAGTAAAGTAGATCTTACCCTCTTTCTTCTATGCCTCTGTCCATATTCATGAGGCCTTTTAGAGGATCCTGTTCCATCTCTTTTCTTCCTTTCTTCCTTTCTTCCAGGCGTGTTTATCTGTCTGCTTAATGCTGTTTGTTATTTCCTGCTCAATGCAAAATTTAAAATGGAAAGTTTGGGGTACTTCTCTTCTTGCAGAATCTTTTTCTATGTTATGCTTGCTCAGGGGCCTTGTTCTTACTTTCTTTCTAACTTTTTCTTGGTGAAGGATTAGTGGTTTTAAATCTTCCAAAAATAAGCCTGACGTTTGTACCTTCTCTTTGTTTATGATCTCAGCTCTTTAGGTCTTGAACTGAATGAGTCTCATAATACTTTTACGCAATCATCAATGGTGTTTTCTTCTGAATATCGAACCAATTAACCTTGCACTTTTTTCTTGTTGAGTTTTGTCCAGAAAATATGTAACAAATTTTTGACTTAAGCATTTGTTGCTCTGGGCTGATGGCATTCAGAATTTATGAACATGCTAATCCTTTCCATGCACTGTTCCTACGTAATGAACTGCAATACTTGCTTTCCTCCTGGAAGCTTGTTTCCATTTTGTATTCTGAGGATAGGGGAGTGATTTTATGCACTTTACTCTACCAAGGTCTCACTTGTGATTTCATTCCCATTATAGATATCTTCTAAGGAGAAGTGCGCTGGAGCTGTTCATGGTTGATCGATCAAACTTCTTCTTTGACTTTGGGGTAACTAATTCTAAAATATTTGCAACTTATTTCTTATGACAGTTTGCAGTTTCTAGTCTTATAAATCATTCATTGTATCAGACAACAGAAGGAAGGCGGAATGCATATCGAGCCATTGTTCAAGCTCGTCCTCCTCATTTGAACAATATTTACCTTGCAACTCAGGTCATCTTATCTTGTTTATTGATTTTATGCCATTTTATATTTGCAGCCACTGCTGCCCCTGGGTAGGGCAACTAGTGTTGTTTTCTTGCTCTGAAATGATTGTTCTGAATGGAGATGAGCCCTTTGTTGTTTTAATGCACAGAGATGTATATTCTGGTGCAAGCTCACATGTGATTTGAAAATAGAATAAGGCCAAATTTCGTCTATAGAATCACTGACAATATCGTTTAATCTGCAGAGACCTGAACAACTTTTGAAGAGAACCCAACTTATGGAGCGCTGGGCTAGGTGGGAGGTTAGTTAGAAGAATACATAGACTTTAGCTAACCAAGCATTAGGTCCTGGTTATCATTCTCTACTTCTTGCTTGACGGTGGCAAAACTCACTATATCTGATGTCCTCTGCAGATCAGCAATTTTGAATATCTCATGCAGCTTAACACGCTGGCAGGTCGCAGTTATAATGATATTACACAGGTAAAACTTCTTTATGTCATGTGTTGGTGGAGATTCTGTGATTCTGTCATTTCTACCATTAATTTATTTCCCCTTGTGCAGTATCCAGTTTTCCCTTGGATTCTCTCAGACTACAGTTCAAGCACTTTAGATCTCACCAGCCCTTCTTCTTATCGAGACCTTTCAAAGGTTAACTATTTATCTTTTGCTCCAAAAATTATGTGCTTTGTTCCTTCAACTAAAGTATAATCTGTTCTGTCCTTGCAGCCAGTTGGTGCGCTAAGCGCTGACCGTTTAAAAAAGTTTCAAGAGAGGTACTCCAGTTTTGATGATCCAATTATCCCAAAATTCCACTATGGTTCACACTATTCGAGTGCTGGAACGGTAGGCTTCATTTTATGATGTTTTCCCTTGTGACAAGCTCATGACATTCACTTTGGATGAGTTATTTTTGTAACTGCTTCACCGAACTACTCTTGTTGAATTGCTTAATGTCTGTCTTCCACTATCTGATACCCGGAGAATATAACAACATAAACATAAATATGCCCAGTACTTCTCGACTCCGTGGAGTCTGGGGGGTCAAGATGCACACAGCCTTACCCCTTGTATTAAATACGGAGAGGCTGTTTAAGTACGACCCAAGATGAATCGGTGCGTTTGATTTGTTGATTTACAGCAACTTCATTAAAATTAAGAAGTACAGGAATTTAATTGAGCCTTATTTCATATTAGCACAAAGATAAATGAATTGTCAATTGTGACTCTTCCGGCTCCATTTGCAATGGCCAAAATGCATCCGCTGACAATAATATATTATGTATCTCGACTTGGATCACTCCTTACTGAACCTCATGGTAATAATTGTTAGAGAACTGCTTTAGTATACTTGTTCGATGGATCCTACTTGAACCTCTTTGTTTGCAACTAACTTAGCAAAGTTACTGCTTCCGTTGCTCTACGTTCTTCTGTTATAACAGGCTTTTACAATTCCCTACATATTGTTATCTCCCTTGTAATGTATTACCTCTGGTCAGAGTTGGATAGTAATTCTTACTCATGTCTAGCTCATGACATTTAATAGGTATTGTATTATCTCGTTCGCGTAGAACCCTTTACTACCCTATCCATTCAACTGCAAGGAGGGAAATTCGATCATGCAGACAGGATGTTTTCTGATGTTGCAGCAACTTGGAATGGAGTGCTAGAGGACATGAGTGATGTCAAGGAATTGGTATGCTGATTTTAGTTCTACTTGAGTTTTCACTAAGTGTTTGATCATCTTTTCTGACTTTTTATTAATTTGCTTATAGAGACAAGTCTGAAATATTGTTTTCCAGGTTCCGGAGCTGTTTTATCTTCCAGAGGTTATGACAAATGATAACTCTATTGACTTCGGCACAACGCAATTAGGCGAGAAACTTGGTAATTTGGCCATTTTAGCGAGTTAATTTAAACAACCAGGGGGCGATTGCCTCATTCTCCACATACATCTCACTACTTTCTTATTTCAGAATCCGTCAAGCTTCCTCCTTGGGCCAAAAACCCGGTTGACTTCATTCAAAAGCACAGAATGGCTCTTGAGAGTGAGCATGTTTCAGCTCACTTACATGAGTGGATTGATCTCATATTTGGGTAAGTGAACACTTCATATTCAGAGCGCACTGGGGTCTTTCATGTCTTTTCTCTGTCTATTTCTTTTTCCCTGTTTTGTGCTAGAAGAAAGAGTTAGTAACGATACCTTCTAAATATTTGGAATCTTCAGGTATAAGCAACGGGGAAAAGAGGCTATTCAGGCTAATAATGTTTTCTTCTACATTACCTATGAGGGCACTGTGGACATTGACAAAATAACAGATCCAGTAAGCCAATATCACTCCCTGTGTGTTTTCTGGTATTTTTACCACTCAAAGGAGAGTCTAAAGTCTTCGTTCTTTAACAGGTGCAACAACGTTCCACACAAGATCAAATTGCGTATTTTGGACAAACACCATCCCAACTTTTAACAATCCCTCACATAAAGAGAATGCCACTGCAAGAAGTTCTTCATTTACAGGTGAGTTTCAAGATCACCATGAGTAAAAACTTTGATTTTTTTGGGGTCATGACTTAATTTTTAACCGTGTCACGGTTGCGTGCATTAGTTGCTCCGAGAAGTGGTTTATCTAAATGCTTGCAACTTGGATCCAACCTCCTGATCATTTAGTTCCATTTTTTTCAAATTTGGAAGTTGACCTGCGTCTACCTTACTTTGATACAGTGATCTCTTTTGTTGTCCTGATATACAAGTTTAAATAATTCATTCTCTAACCAACACCAGAGGTTTTGCTCAAATTGCATTTGCTTCCTTAATGGGATTGTCATTGCTGTACACACTACCAAATTTCCACCGTCAGTGCAGGGGAAACAGATATGAAGTCATGATGAAGTTATGATTTGACTAGTTTTTGCTAAAATTTGGAAATTAAAATGACAAATTAATGGACTGAAATGATGTTTTTCTGTTACCACTTCCATTTTCTTGAAACTGCAATGCCATTAGATAACTTATCAAGTATCCTAAATTTCGGATTTTGTTATTTTCGGATTAGTAATATTTGAGTCCTAATAAATCTTTTTGATATTAGGATGAAATTTAAACAGCTCTAATTAATTGTATGAGGGACTGATATAAATCGGTGTAAATTTAAGAAATTTAAGACTCACTCCAGTTTTTTAGCAATCTTTTATGCTAAGAAATACAGTATTATTTAATAAATCTTTGTTTATTTGGTAACTGTCCTTGTAATCATGAAAGTCCAAGCATGTTATCATCTTTTGGGTATGGTAGTCTTTTTGACAAGTCGACTGCTGTGTTTTGCGTTTCACTTGTGAGTTTTGACATGTTTCAATTCACTTGTGCATGACAGACAATCTTCCGGAATCCCAAGGAAATTAAACATTATGCTGTTCCCCATCCTGAACGCTGCAATATTCCTGCTGCTGCCATGTTTGCATCTTCAGATTCTGTTGTGATTGTTGATATACATGCCCCTGCTGCCCATATAGCGGAGCATAAATGGCAGCCAAATACCCCTGATGGCCAGGGAACTCCATTCCTATTTCAGCATGGAAAGCCCAGCACTAGCTCTGCTGGAGGAACATTTATGCGCATGTTTAAAGGGCCAACAAACTCTACATCGGAGGACTCTCACTTTCCCCAAGCACTGGCTTATGCAGCTTCTGGAATCAGAAGCTCAGCTATAGTTGCCATCACATGCAACAAAGAAATTGTCACTGGTATAGTGTTTTTGTGACTACTATTTTTACCTTTATAATTAATTTCAATCTGAACAATATTCTGACATCAAGATAACTTTTCTTTGAAAGAAAAAAAAAGGAGAATTATTCTTTTGCAGAAGCTACAGATTGGTTACTGATTCGTTCTTCCAATTCTTTTCTTTTTAGTTCCAGTTGTTTGATTAAAAATGAGAGATCATCAAAACTGGTTTAAAATGCATGTACCTCAGGATACACTAGCAATTCCATTAACTATTTCAAAGCGCCTTTCGTTTTTCATGTGGCTAATATAGATCTAAATCTTAATGTTGATTTTGCTCTACAGAGTTGGTTGTAGTCTCTGTATTTTCCTTCAACGTCATCTTATCTAACTTGAATATTTGGAATTTTTATGTAGGTGGCCATGTAGATAACAGTGTCAGATTGATATGTGTTGATGGAGCCAAAACCTTGGAAATAGCAAGAGGACATTGTGCTCCTGTGACTTGCGTGGCTTTGTCCCCCGATAGCACTTATCTTGTGACGGGATCTCAGGATGCAACAGTTTTGCTCTGGAGATTGCATCCAGTATCCATGTCTCGTTCCAGTAATGCAGTTGAACCATCCAATGCCCCGGGCACGCCAAGGTCCACCACCAGCAGTACTACCGCTAATGCTTCTACTGAAAAAAGGCATCACCGAGTTGAGGGTCCTTTGCATGTTTTGCGAGGTCATCTTGGGGAGATAGTATGCTGCTCCGTCAGTTCAGATCTTGGAATTGTTGCATCCTGCTCCAAGTCTTCTGATATCCTTCTGCATTCAATTAGAAGGGGCAGGTTAATCCGAAGGCTGGCTGGCATTGAAGCTCATGCAGTCTGCCTATCTTCTGATGGCATCATACTGACATGGAACAAACAATTTAATAACCTAAGCACCTTTTCTCTCAATGGAACTTTTATTGCAAGATCATACCTACCTCCTTCCTCATCCGTTAGTTGTATTGAGGTGTCTATGGATGGACTTAGTGCTTTGGTTGGGCTAAACCGTTCTTTGGAAAATGAACCAAGTTTTGACAACAGTCGAAATTTGAAGAATAAGACAGGAAATGATATTCTTGATACCAAATCAAACGAAGAAAGCAGATTGAGTGTCCCATTACCGTCAATTTGTTTCTTTGATATGCGCTCATTAAAGGTTAGAATTTTTGTTTTTGTTTGAAATTAGATCTGGACCATGTCCCTCAATCCACTATTTGTCCGTGGACAGATTGATAGTTTTAAATGGACGCATCTATGTACAGCATGCGTATGTTCAACATTCTGCATCATTTATTTTTGGTTACATTAGCAAAAATATTCCCTTCATTTATGTAGCCTGCCATTGCAAGCTGTTTATTGCTAAAAGCCATTTGTCCCATACTTTACATTCTCTGTGCTAACTAGTCTGTTTCTGCTTGCAGATATTCCATCACATAAAATTGGGAGAGGGGCAAGAGATTACATCTCTGGCCCTGAACAAGGATAACACCAATCTTATTGTGTCAACAGCTGACAGACAACTGACCATTTTTACTGATCCTGCTGTGAGTTGAAGATGAACTCTCTTTCTTCTTTTTGCTTGCTACCTCTCGTGCTTTTAAATATTATGTAGTTGAGTGGAAGACTAGTTTTATCTGCTCAGGATATGAATATTTTTCTCCTGAACTTGATTTCTTTCTGTATGTTTTTACACGAGTGTTTTTTGGACCTAGTCTCTTCAGCTGTCTTCAATCCCGAAGTGGTACCCCATATCCTGACTTGTCTTTGAAGTAATATGTCAATTCTGACCATCAATTTCCAGTGGAGTGAAACTTTGATTCACTATTTAGGATAATTGAACCGCTTCTCATTAGTACCACATCTCCAAATCATGCAATTCATTTGAAACTATAATGCCTTCTAAATCACTGAATGGTTGATAATGATCCTGGAGTAGTTGGCTGGAGAAGGAGAATGGGCTTCACATCATATTAGTGGAGGAAATTTCAAGGGTTAATGAATGTCTCCAATATAGTAGTCTCTAAGAAAAGATGTTCTCTGTAAACTAAAGACCTCATAAGTAGCGTACAGAGACTCTTTAACTTCTGTTTTCCTTCCCGGTTAAGTACAATCTCTTATATGAGAGGGTTTCTGTTTTGCAGTTGAGTTTGAAGGTGGTGGATCAGATGCTCAAGCTGGGATGGGAAGGTGATGGGTTAAGCCCTCTGATAAAATGAAATCAGTTTGTGTGTTACTTTTGATTCATTGAAACAAGATGGCATTGCTAGGCATATGTTCGGTGCATTTGTCGAAGCAATCACTGTTTCCTGCATTCAGCAGAATTTGATGACACGGCATACCTTGGCCTGCAATCAGTACATATCGACAGAGATCTTGGTTGCAAATTGTCATCCGCTGCCTTCGTGAGTGTGTACCATATATATATATATATATATATATATATATATATATATATTTTTAACGAGTGGATTGAGTGTAGATGTATAGCAGGGGATGTGAATATGAACGGTAGAGTTAATTTCAGGGCTGTTTAGCAGAAGTTTTTTGACTCTTATGAGTTGCAAGTTTTGTCACATTTTGAGGCTCAGGTGACACAGCCCTTGAGCTGTATATTGATAATGGTAACTCCTTTTTGGCTGGAAATCAAGTGCTTATACATCAAAAGGCACCAATGAACTCTAACATTACTGAATCAAAACTCAAGTAATCCTTCGACCACACTTGTTTTATTTTTTATTTTTTATTTTTTTATAAAATTCTGATAAGTACGATAATCTTTGTTCAGTGTAAACATTTTCCCTAGCGTGAAATTTACGGTGAATGCAGAGTGCTTCAACTGCTGTTTCAGTGCATTTGGTAAAACTTTTTTTATTTTATTTTATGAAAAAGCATTTGGTAAAACTTATAACTGTTTAATAACATTGTGTTCCCTTGTCCCAAAAAGAAAAAATAATAAAAAAAAGTTGGCAATGCTAGTTTGTGAATTGTATGATTATTGTCTATTTTGGATAAAAATGAAAATCAATAACTAAAAATTAAAATCAAAACTAATTTTGGGAAAATCAGTAATTTACAAATATTAAATGGAGAATTTCAAACGGTTTCGTCTATCCTCTTTAATTATCTTTTCTTTTTTAAATAGAAGTGCATACTAATTTAATAAAGCAATCACAATTAGAGCACAGTGTGCAGGCAGTTTTATATCCTCTTCTGGAAAAGGAAAAAAAGAATAATAATAATAATAATAATAACACCCTGAATTTCCTTGAGAATCAATTACTGTTATGTGCTATAAAGGAAAAAACTAGGTTCTTGACCCGTACATTAGCACGGATACGAAATTATTTATGAATTTTTTAATAGAATTTATGAATTAATTTTTATGTATTTTCAAAATAAAATTAATAAAAGTTTAAATTATTGTGTTAGAATTGAAAAAAATATTGTTGTACAACGATTTTAGGGTGACGATATTATTTTTAGTAAATATTTATACAATCATATTTCGAAATACTTCTTAAAAACTAAGTACCAATAGCCACAATGATTCTATTCAAGTCATTTTTTTTTTTAAAGAAACATGTTAGAGGACCATTAGGCGACTTTCCTCAAAGAGAAAATTAAAAAAGTGAGGGACTAAATGTAGCCTATTAAATCCTTAGAGGAGCCATTTTATGATTATTTTGCCCTTTTTCATTATTGTTAATAAAAGACTCATCGTTTTAACATTTCATAAGTTTTAAATTAAAAAAATAATGAAACTGACATTAGCAGAATTATTGTTAAACTCAATAATATTATAATTAACTTGTATAATTTTGTAGTAGTATATTTTACTTACTAACTAATAATTAGATAACATTAAACAAACTAAATTAATTAAAAAAAAATTAACTTTATCTAAATAAATTAAAATTTAACTTGGCCTAAATTAACTTTACCTTAACCAAAAAAAATATTCAATTAATTTGTATTCGCGCCAATCAACCGTAGGCAGCCTGACTGTAACCTGCGCACAGAGGGCGCACGGCCAATGGGTTGCCCGCGTTAACCAGGCGAGCAGCCGATTGGCCGCTCACCCTCTCTGCGCGTGTCACCATCAGGTTGCCCGTGGCCACGCGATGCTGCGCAGTAAGAGCGTGGCCTCCGCTTTTTTTTTAATATTTTTTTTTCAAATTTGATGAATATATATTTAATAAAAAAACAAAAAAAATACATACCTGCGGTGGCAAGATTTTTTCAAAGAAATACTTAAAAAGTTGAATATTAAATAAAAATTAGGAATCTAGAATTAGGATTAATTTATTTTATTTTTTTGGTTCATTTTTTTTTTCGTTTTGGTACACGACAGATTTTTCTCATTTTTTTTTCTTATTGTGTTTGACTCTGGGGAGATTTTTAAGCAAAGAATGCCGCTTGGAATTTTAGTAAAAATGTGGTTTTCGTTATAATGGGGTTATTATTATTATTATTATTATTATTATTATTATTATTATTATTATTATTATTATTATTATAGATTGAACAACTTAATTATAATACAACCCTTTCAAAACAGAAAATTATACAACGACCCTTCTAAAAGCAAAAAAATGTACAACAAGTCAACAACTGGAATTTTATTTTTCACAAATCCAGGTACAAGTTACCATTGCTAGGCTTTAAGTAAAGGTTTTGGAGGAATTTACAGAAATGGGTGGAAAGGGACGAAAGAGAAGAGAAAAGAATTACAAGGCAGCCCATGGAGGTCAGACTGGACTTCCACCACCGCCGGACCGCTCCGCTCTCGACGCCGTCCCCTCTAAACTCCGTAAACTCATGTCTTTCACCGGATTAGGTTTGTTTTAATTTCATCGTAATTTCTTTTGATTAGTTATGTTTCCTCTATAGCATTTAATTTTTTCGATGTGGATGTTGTTGCAGATGGTAGGAAGGGATCAACTAACGGTGCAGATAAGAATAGAGTAGACAGAGGCAGAGTTGACAAGGTGATTTTTGCGGCTTATTTTTTCCCCCCCTTTCTTTTTTGGAAGATATAGAATTCCTTATCAACTGATATTAATTGGTGCAAACTGCTAAGTATTGGATTTTAGTTTTGCATAATTTTCAAATTCAGAATTCTTTCAGGCGTAATTTAATTTGTAGTATGTTTAGCTGGTTAACGCACGGAAAGAATGACCAATGTTTGTCCTGTTTGAGCACATATGATGGATAATTCATTACATGCTCTGAGCTTATGTCTTTTGTTGGTTTTAATTGCAAGAGGAAACAGAAAATGATCCACAATATTGTCCTAAATTATGTCTATAAGTTAATTCATGCTTGCATGATTTGTATAGTAAGTAATCAATCTTCAAATTTTAGTGTGTCGGTATTTTTCTACAATCCCCCCGAGGAAAAGTTGTAGTTTTTCCTTTTCGTAGATTGAACTAGTTTCCTATACTTATGAAGATACCTACCCTTCTCATCCATTTGGATACTGTGATATTTTGATGTCTATCAATGAGTTGATATAGTATATTTGTTTCTTAAACTAAACTTTATCCTCTTGTGGTTGCAATATTTGCAGAGGAGTCATTCAGAGGGTAAAGAGGGATCCAAAATTGACAGGACAACAAAAGAGGATGAAAACTCAACGGTAAAACTATCTGATGATTACGATGAGGAGCATGCTGAAAGCAGCATGCATGAAAAGAAAAGGAAGAAGAGAAAAAGAAAACTTATCAGTGACCTAAGGTTTGAACAATTGGATGAATTGGGAGGTACTGGATCCAAAAGGAAAGAGCGTAGGAAACAGTAAGTTGCAAATAGCTCACGTTTTAACCTTCTCTGTACTCGTTTCAGCTTCAGAATCTGTCCCTCCTAAGTGTGTTAAAATACTGATCGGAACATGACCTCTGACCCTGTCTTTTCCGTCTTTTTACGTGTCTTTTCTTCTTCCTCTGGGTAAAGTGGCTTCTGTTTACCCATCTCCTATGTGACCGCAAGCTTGGCTTTGACAGTTGTTGTGTGGTTTAAGACTCCTTTCTATGTATGAAGAGTAATGAGGTACCTTGCTACTTGCAGGCGATTGGAAGAAATGAAAAAGAAACGCAAAAAGACAAAGGACGTGGAGAACGAAGACTTCCAAGCCCGTGATAATGTGAAATTTGGAGAAGTTGTTGAAGCTCCGCCAAAGCTTGTTGCAGTTCCTAAGGTACTTTAGCAAGTCGATGTCTCTTTTCAGATAAGAACGTTTAATCTAGTTGCAGTCGAAGTAGTGTCTTAGCTATACCTGCACATAATACCTTCACTTAAAATGTTGCACCAAGTGCTAACGTTTTGTTGCATGTTATAAGGCATTCAAGACTGTTCAAGGCGCATCACAAGAAAGACTGCGTTTACAGGCAATCGAAGCCTACAGGAATCGGAAAGGATGGGTATCAAGGCCAGGAGTTGCACTTCCTCCAACTGCAATCATGTCACAAGACTCATAACTCTCATAATTCTTTTCTTGCTGACTGCATGGCGTTCCTTCCAACTTACTACAATTGCTGTTCTCTCACACACAAAGGTTGGAAGAAGCAATTTTTACATGTCAGGACCTCCATCTGGAGTTTCATCTTCTTTATTTTATTTTATTTTATTTTTTTTTGAGGCATTGCTACCTTCCCGGTGGTTGTTGTATGAGTAGAAAACATTTGCAAGGAAAATGAAAGCCATTTTGGCCGTAGCATTCAGAGTGTAAGGTATTTCTGCATCCGAATATGTAGTATGCTGATAAGTTATGATGAAAACAAGAAGCCTTTTTCTCCCTGTTAGACATGTCTTTCGTTGTGCTGGGTCAACAAAAGTAATGTAAGAAATGTATTTACCGCAGATAAAAGTTATTTCACATAAACAAGCAGAAGTTACATTTCCTCCTAATTCTACACACCCATTTCACCGGACACACGTTCACTTTTTGAGGTGATGGAGGAGAAAATGCTTGGTGAGATCAGCAAACGAGTCTGATTTAAACGCAGCATTCTAAGCAATCTTTATCTGTGGGATGCAAGGACATTAAGTTCCCCGTCAATGTGAAGATTAATCATTGTCCTGTAATTCACATCCTGTACTTCATCACTCAGCTTGAAGGAAAAGAATCTCAATAAAACAGCTGCAAAGATCTTCATTTGTCTGTAAGCAAATTCTTTCCCCAAACAGATTCGCGGGCCAGCCTGTTGATGAACAAGATATTAAGCTTCAATTTCTTCAACAACCAAGTATGTTGTAAAGCATTTAGTTCACGATGAATATGACTTTAACAAAGTTTCAATTTCTTCAACAACCAAGTATGCAAGGAAAAATGTGCGATATTCTTCAGTAAACAGACAGACAAACTTGAATTGCTGCTTAGGAATGTTGAATGTGCGGAATGTTAAAGGGATTTGTCCCATATCAAAATGCAAACCTGGAAGGCTGTAAATTTGAATGGGCTCTGTGGCTGAAAGCAACCATTGTCATCAAGCCATCTCTCTGGTATAAACTCTTCAGCATTTTCACCCCAAATGAACTTCATTCTTCCCATTGCATATGGTTGGTATGCCACCATGTCACCTTTCTTTACTGAAAAACCATCTGGCAGTGTGTCATCTGATAGGCATATCTTCCCATCCTACAGTCACAACCAAGGAAATCAAATCATCATCTTTCTGGACTCTAATCAATGTGGAATCCTTTTGATCTAAAATTCTGGGCAAGTTGTAAGCTAGTCGAAGCTTGAAATAAAAGAATTATGAAGGACAAAGAAACTGTAAATGTCTTCTCTTTTAGAGCAAGTGAATTCTTGCATCAGGGGCTTGAACTAAAATCTATCAGTGAGATAAAATGTTCCAAATACATCATGGAAAAACGGCAAAGAATTGTAAGTTTAGATGCCAAAAGGAAGCATAGCAAGAGAACTTTCATTACCACTGGAACTGCAGGATAAAGTCGAAGAGTCTCGGTTAGTGCTGCATGAAGATAGTGCATGTTCTCCATTGAATCATCACTCAATCTGGCTGCGAATTCCGCAACATCTGTTATCTGCTGCTCATCTGTTGAACCTTTGGTTTCTTGAGCAATCTTCCCCTGCACCTCTGGGTGCTTGCAAAGCATATATATAAACCACGAGAGTGTGGTTGCTGTCGTATCTTTTCCAGCAATTATAAAGTTCAATATTATATCCCGCAAGTACTTGGGATCAGTTTCAGTCACTCGCAAGAATCTAGACAAGATATCGTCCTTTTTCCACTGTAATAGGCAATAGAATAATTTCAGTATCTCACATCAAAGAACTTACACGAAATATTATAAGCTTTGAAATGGTTGGCTTACAGACAAATCATCGGCTAAATTATGCATTTGCTCAGTCTTGCTGCGTATCAATTTGTACACAAAGTCGTCAATCACTTTGACACTCTCTCTTAACTTGGCTTCAGATCCCACATTAAAAGCTTTCTTGATCTTCCACAAGATATCAACATAACGTCTAAGGCTCAGAGCACTTGCATCATCAAATGCACAGCTAAACTTTTTGCCTTCTTCATTTGAACCACACATGCTATCCAGGTCAACCCCAAAGGCAACTTTGAATATAGAATCCAGTGTTGACTTCATGAAGAGATCCTGCACAGCTCAATAAAGTTCCAACCTATAACCAAATGGATTCATTGGAATACAGGATAGAAGTGGAAGGGCTTTAACTCACTTGAATGTCTAAGGATTGTTTAGAATCTGCAGCGTCGGAGATTATCTTGGCAACTTTCGCCACATTTTTCCTGAATATGACACTGCTAAAATCCCTCAACACCCTTGTGGAGAACTCATGACTCGCTATCTTCCGCTGCTCCCGCCATTTGTCACCATCAACTGCAAAGATGCCATCCCCTAATAGATCCCTCAATATGGTATATTGGTACAATCCCTATATATGTAATTTCAAACACTTAAAACCACCGTGTGCATATTTTATCATCTCTAAACTACAATTTAAGTTTAAATCTTCAAAAATAACTAAAGAACTAAGAAGTAGAAACTCCACGGTATAAGAAAGGCTGAGAAAATTCCAAAAACACCTTCCAAGGGCGAACCTTTTGTCCAAAATCTTGAAATTGCATATCCAGTACCGCAGTAAATTGAAACAAAAGGGTCCAAAAATTATGGAAAACATTTTGAGGCTCTTCATCTCCCAAGACAACAGATTGTAATTAAGAAGGGTAAAACCAAGCAAATTAACATTTAATACTATCAAAAATCTGGTTCAACTTTCACCCCAGCTGATCAAAATCCTACCACCAAATCTCACTAAGGCATTAATTTTATTAGTTCACACAAGCAGCTGAATTAATACAGAATCTCTCCATGGTAAGAAACTTGGCGAACCCATCGGAAATTAATGAAGTAAAAGCATGAAACTAAATCAAGCAGAAGAATCATTACATCCCAAGAGCTATAGAGTAAAGTAAAATACCTTGCCATAGTTTTCGAAGTTGGTCTTCAATATGTACTCTACATTAGCCGGGTCAGAAGTATACACTTCATTGCGAAAAGGGCTAATCAACCTGTAAGTTTTGTACTTGCTGGCAAGATCAGTCATGTAATGATGCAACCTGTTGAAGTTAGCCAGTTGATTGAGCATTGTCCCGCCAATCGGATGATATTTCTTCTTCTTCTTCTTCCCACCATTTTCTTGGATCTTTTGAGTGATTACAGAAATGGCAAAAAGGCTCAGTGCAATACAGATGAAAGTTGCCGCTAAAGCAACCGGGCTGCCAAGAAAATCAGATGTCAAGATCATTTTTTCTTGATTTTTTTGCAAAGCGGTTGGAAATTTGGCCTTATTGTTGGTATATTTAGGATCCTTGACTTTGTTGGATATAATTAATCTTTAATAGATAATCACAACATGGGGGAACTTTCTAAATAGACAATGACTTTTTAAAGTTCGGTCATCCAACTTTCTAAACAAAGTAATGAACAATGACGTTAAACCAGAGAAGAAAATTCAACATTTTGAATTACGTAACAAGTAGAATGGGAGTTTTTGCCCAAATCTCAAAATAGAAGTACTTCTTGTCTTCTACAACTCTATGATTAAGGGTTTCTTTTCTTTTTCTTTTTTCTTTTTTTTTTTTTTTTTGTCTTTTCCTACCTTTGAGATTCTCAGTTTTATCTTCAAATAAGGCTAGTTGTCAGAACAATAACTAGCAATCACAGCCAAAAAAAAAAAAGGGATCAAACTCCTCCAGTTCCAGCCTGCTACATTCTTCTCTGTAAATGTAAATGACAGCTGAATACTCAATACTGGACTGCCATACATGTGAAGAGATCATAAATGCAAAATCCTTGTAACTTCCATCTTCATCACATTGTGAAGCAGAATTGTTGACATTATTCATCCCCAGCATGTGCAGCTCAGAACTGAAACATGATCTACAAAACCTAATAAAGGCTAGATAAGCGCTTACAACGATTTATTGGAACAGATTTCAAGTCTGTCTCCTTAACCACTCAGGACATATCGACATTTCAGAAAAACGTTTACAACTTCAAAAAATAAATCTACAACAAAATCTGAGAAAACAAAAGGTTGGCTTAAGTAACAAAAAACAAAAGGGAAGTTCGAGCATTTGCCTTCATGGAAACTGTTGAGCATTCAGAGATGATTGCATGATTTTGCATTCGTGATCTTCTTAGACTGTTCCTCTTGAACTGATCTGGCACCCAAAATTCTTGGACATTACGTGAACTTCCAGTTGTTCACCCCTGCTGGTCAAGAATTTCCCATCATCAAAAAAATACTTCTTCAGCTCGAAAGCTTCTGCACCACTGGGAAAGCTTTCAACTTTGACCTTAATCAATTTGTTGTTCTGAGAGATAAAAGGGACCTCATCAACAATCCCGGAATTCTCATGTATAAACTGAAAAGTTACAGGGGATTTTAGATCATCAAAGGAGAGGGTGTCCAGATGAGGAGCCATCCAAAGCAGATTCTCCAGCATTTCTAAAGTGACTGGTATGTATTTGTTATCAGTATAACGTGCACCAACAGTTAAGTGTTTGACATCCCAGAGGGGAGGATCCGGATTGCGCCTTAGAGGCTTTAAAACCTTGAAGTGGCGTGGCGCAAAATCGTCCAACTTCACTGCCTGAAAATGATTGAAACTTCTGAGGAACTCCACAAGTTTATCATACCTTATTCTGTCAGCTTCATGTTTAACAAAGTTAGCAGCCCTTATTGATGAACTTTCAAACGACAGATTTGACGATATGAAACCCAAAAAAAAAAATTCAGACAAACTAGGGGCATCCACTTGAACATTCACTGGAACGTCAACAAATCCAAGCCACAGGTACTTAAGACTGTTGCTTGAGATACTAAAACTCTTCAGCCCCTTATCACTGTGAATCCACTTAAACTCGTGCAGCGAGAATGCTTCGAGGACATTATGATGCGAAATAAAATGTTCAATTG